TGTTTTGCTAATGTTGTTCTTTCTTCTTTGGGTGCTTTTTATCATATGATTTAAATCAAGAGTCATTTCAGGTTCCCAGATAAAGGAAACTTTTTCATCCCCTTGCTGTGGCTCCCTGTCAGCTGAACCCACCACTGGCTGGCCCAGCCCCTCACCCTCCCTTCCCAGTCACTCCTCGCCTGGCCTGAGAAGGTAAGAACGACGGCGGGGAGATGGAGACTCGCTCCATATTCCAGAGCAGGAGCAAAGTGCCCCTGTACTTGCCTCCTCTCGCAGGCGCTTCTTCCGGCCCTTGTTGGCGCTGTGCGCACCTTGGTTGCTTGGGGAGAAGCGCAAGTTGCTCTCCGCCCCGAGATACTGGAACGACTGCAGGCAATGCTCTGCTTCGTAATGGACTCCAGAAGGAGGAGGGGACCCCATCTTTCCCCATTGTTAAGCGCACTAAATTTAGCTGCTGCGCAACTAGGACTCCAAGTTTCCATTCAGTTACTGTTTTTGAGCTAGGTTTTGCCTAACCTGTAATTGTATCTTTTTTTTCTTTGCTTAAGTGTAAACCCTGGCTTTTTTCCACATTAAATTTCATTTTCTTGGATAAGGCCCATTGTTCACGTTTGTAAATATCTTTTTGGATTCTGAACTTGTCTTCTGGGGGTGTTGGCTATTCCTGCCAGCTTAGTGTCACCTGCAAATTTGATGAGTTCCCCTTCTATTTCCTCATCCAAGTCCTTTATGAAGATATTGAAGAGTACTGGGCCTAAGACAGAACCTTATGGTACTCTACTCCTTATTTCCCTTCATGTAGATGTCGTACCATTAAGGACTACTTGTTAGTAGTGTTTGTCAGCCAATTACAAATCCATCTAGTGATGATGATGTCTATCCCACATTTTAGTGTTTACCAATAGGCTTTGGTCTATGTTGTGACTCCGGCCCCGGAGGCTGATTTATCTTCGCATGCTGAGTCGGAGAATGATATGGAGGAAGCTGGCACGAGCTATGTGCTCTATGTGCCGGAGGGGCCATCCTCACTGGTAAGTCAGCAAGAACTGATAGTTGCTGATGTGCCTCTGGACCCCAGCCAAATTGAGGAGGAAACAGAGGCAGGTAACGAGGAGAGAGAGCCCCTATTGGATGCAAGAGAGAGACGTAGGAGACGTCGTAGAGAACAGCTATTGCCATGTCCCAAGAGGTGTGGTCAGGAGACATAGGGCCATAACCTACAAAGTATAAAAGGGGTGTGGCTGGGCCGGAAAGGTGTGATGAACAATTTGTTGGCGTTTTGGATATAGTGGAGTTTAGAACTGCTAGTTTTGAGTTTTGAAAAGGAGTCTGCATTCCTTTATTAGCCTGCTGGCCGTCTACCAAGACCTCTGTAACATTGCCCCGTAATTACTGAACTGATATACTTTTGGAACATTGCCGGTAACTACTGAACTCATATACTTTTGAAAGAGAACTGTTTATTAAAGGGCCAGCTTCAATCTCTCCAGCCTGCGTTTGTTACTGGCGGGCTATTTGAGCTTCTGCAAGGCCACTCATGGGAGGGGACAGAACAGTCTACTTTGTTTAATACCTTAATGAAGTCTAAATATACTATGTCCATGGCATTTCACTGGTCTACTAATTTTGTCACTTTGTCAAAGAATAAAATGATTGTTTTGGCATGATCTGTTTTAATAAACCTATGCAGCTTTCTGTGATTTGCGAGTATGATGATCTACACATCCTGGAGCCAGTTCACCTGACCTGTCTATTTGTCAGTAGAAAGTGAAGTTAGTTTCTGAATATGACCCCAGGAAACTGCAACTGGCATAAATAGGAACTAGTTGTCAAGTATTTGATCACATGTTCATGGGGATGGTGCAAAGCAGGGGTGCCAAACTCAATTTCATTGGGGGCCTCATCAGCATAATGGTTGCCCTCAAAGAGCCAGTTGCATGTAAGACTATGACAACTCACATGGTCACTTCGATACCACTCACTGGGTGAGGCTGACTTGGGACAGCTGGGTCAGGATGGAATAAGTTGCACTGGCTAACTCAAGGTGGGAAAAATTCAGTGCCTTCTTCTCAAACCCAGACATGATTGGCAGCTTGCAAGCTCAGATGTAGATAAAAGTCTCCAAGCTTGGATTGGTGTGTCTGTGTGTGCACATACAGAGCATGCCGACGGAGACGTTCTTTCCAATCTCAGACATCGTTGGGGTTTGGTTCTCTGTCTGGTACCCACTCCCTGCAAAGCAAGAAGCGGAGGACGACTCTGCTGAGTCATGGAAGAACTGGAGGAGAAAGTTTGCAGGGAGCAGTTTCCTCCGAGTTTAACTTCTGCCTTGATAGATCTCTGGAGACCAAGAGGAGGTGGCAGGGGAGCAGCACTCCCAAGTCCCGCAGGAGGGAGGCTGGCCCTTTTCGAAAGGAAATTCTCGTTTCCAGGCATGTGTGGTAAAGATGCCGGCTGGTTGGGGCAGCCTTCCCTCACACAGCTCCCTTGCCACCCCTTCCTCCTCTCCAGAGATCTGTCAAGGCAAAAGTTAGGCCTGGAGGAAACTGCTTCCTACAAACTTTCTCCTCTGCGCTTCTACATGCAGCAGCACCCTCCATCTTCTGTAAGGGGGGCAGGTAAGGCTGGGAGGGGGGATCCAGAGGTCTCCATCAGAGGAAGGCGAGACCAGGATGAGGACCAAAGCCTCGTCCACCAGAGGAATCTCACCGTCCCTCTCAGGCCACACGGCTCAGACTAGCTTTGCTGAGGGGGTGCTCAGCCACGCTTAACTCCTCCTCGAGGTTGCTGCTGCTGTGCTCGCTCTTCTTGGCCAGGTTGCTCCTGTTGAGTGTGGGAGGGCAAAGTGTGTGAGTCAGAGAGAGACACACTCCACATCTATGGAAGGGGACCTGGCTTTCTAAGCAAACCATCCTCACTGTTAGGATGAGAGACCACCAAGAGAGGCCAAGAGGAGGGAGGCAAGGGGATGGCGAGGCAGGCAGGGTTGCTGGTGGCCAAGTGCTAAGGCAGGGGTTCACTCAGATCCTCCCTCCCTCTCATTACAATCTCCTTCCTTCCTTCCTCCATCACTCATTCTCATCTCTTTCCTTATTTCCTCCCCCCTTCTCATTCCCATCTCCTTCCTTCTTCCCCCTCCTTCCCCAGGAAGGGACAAGTGGGTGGCCATGGCTTTCCCATGTGGGGGCAGGCACAGTCCCAGTGAAAAGGAAAGCTCTCGGGGGTAGAAGGCCAGCTGTGAGGCCGGGCTGACGAGCAGGCCGAGGTGGCAGAGATCCCTAGCAGCAACGCAGTGCCCGCCATCAGGGCCTATGCCACCTCAATGGCCCCCTCGGCACTCCAGATCCCGTGTGCTCATCACCTCCTGTGCATGTACCCAGGGGTAGCGTCCAGCTGGGGCAGGGTGGGCCGAGGCACACATCTAACCTGCTCGTGGGCTGGTTCTGACCCGCGGGCCTTGTGTTTTGACATGTCTGATTTAGTATAAAAAACAAACATAAAACGAACTCATTGTTTGTATGTTTCTCTTTTGTATCTCCAATATTTTTTCAAAATAAAACATCTCCACAACCCTTATCGGGAGACAGAAAACTTAAACCATTTAGAATCCAGGACTTTTGAGAAACGTTTTTGAGCTCAACTCAATTAAATTGGGTATGATTGATGATTTAAAACAGCAGTCCCTAACCTTTCTGGCTTTGTAGCCCAGGTGGGCGAGGAGGAGGAGGATGGTCCTGTGCAAGCTGCTGGCAGACGCATGCATGCAGAGCTCCATTTGTGGAAGTAGCTGGCCTGTGCACCCGCCGCTCAAACGAAGTGTGAGTGCCTGCCACTAGCTACGCTTGCACACGCTCATCCACTGCTTGCACGGCCTAGTTGGGGCCGTGGGCACTGCTTGCACGGCCCTGTGGGTTGGGGACTCCTGGTTTAAAAATCCAACATTCTGGATGCAGCAATCAGAACTCTCACCGGAGTTTTCCTCAGACAAGCGGAGATGGAAAGGTAGGACAGGCAGAGAAAGGGAAAGGCCCAGATACTTGGCCCAATATCAGAACAGAAATATTCAGGCAACAGCAAAAGGTATCAGATCACCTCTAACGAAGTTGTGGGTTTTTTCCCTTTAACCAAAGACATAATTGAACAACAATGTGATAATTGTGTTTGGTATTTTGGAATATTTGAAATAATATAATGAAAAACAATCAGGAATATTTCTACATGTACAAAAGGCCTTTGTCTATCTGAACTTAGCAAAAACCACAAGGAGGATTAGGGATCCACACTGTTCTGGTTTGCACTAGAAAGGCAATTTATGGATGCATATTTAAGAGGAGCTACAGTTTATTTGGATTATTACTCAAATTACAAAGACCCAGATTGTGGGGGCAGTAAGATGACTTTGTATAAAATATACAAAAGTATAAAGGCCATTGCTTAATGCATTGTAAGCCGCCCTGAGTCTCTGGAGAAGGGCAGCATATAAATCAAATTAAAAAAAGAAAATGGTCTTTGCAAGATATTTTAGTCCTCAATTTACTATAGTTCATATAGTGATTATTCAAAGTTATAGAAGCACTGAAAAACATGACTTATGACCATTTCTCACAGTTATAACTGTTGCAGCATCCAGATGGTTAACTGATAAAATTTCAGATGCTTGGCAACTGATTCATGACAGCTGCAGAGTCCCTGGATCATGTGATCACCTTTTGTGAGCTTCTGACAAACAAATCCAATGGGGAAGCCAGATTCATTTCATAACAGTATTACTAACTAAACAACTACAGTGATTCACTTAACAAAAGTGACAAGAAAAATTGTAAAACGGGGCAAAACGCACTTAATAACTTTCCCTTAGCAACAGAAATATTGGGCTCAATTGCCGTTATACACGAAGAACTATCTGGATTTCTCTTGGAGCTCTCTCCACAATTCCTTCATTGATTTGGTTTCTCCAGTGTGTGGATGCTTCTCTGGCGAGTAAAAGCATTACTCCTTACAAAACTCCACTCCATGCATTCATATGGTTTTTTCCTCCCGCATGGATCCATTTATGGGACGTGAGATCAGAACTCCTTCTAAAGCCCTCTCCACATTCCACACATTTATAAGGTCTTTCTCCTGTGTGGATACTCATGTGGTAATTAAGATCACTACTACGAGTAAAGGTCTTTCCACATTGCACACATTTATAAGGTCTTTCTCCTGTGTGGATCCTCTTGTGGGAATTAAGACTACTGCTATAAGTAAAGGTCTTTCCACACTCCATGCATTTATAAGGTGTTTCTCCTTTGTGATTCCTTTTATGGGTTTTAAAAGAATGATGATAACAGAAGGTCTTTCCACACTCCATGCACTGATACGGTTTCTCTCCTGTGTGGATCCTCTTGTGGGTATTAAGATTACCACTCTTCCTAAAACCCTTTCCACACTCCATGCAATGATATGGCTTCTCTCCTGTATGGATCAAATTGTGGGATTTCAGACTACTGCTACAAGTAAAGGTTTTTCCACACTCCATGCATTTATAAGGTCTTTCTCCTGTGTGGATCCTTACATGTCTTCTAAGAGAGTGATTATAAGAGAAGGTCTTTCCACATTCCGTGCAGGTATTTGGTTTCTCTTCTGAATGTGCCTTTTCATGAGAAATGAGATGATCGGATTTATTGAACCTCTTTCCACACTCCATGGATTTATATGGTCTTTCTCCCATATCGATCACTCTATGGTTAGGAAGCCAACTGACCTGAGGAAGACTTTTTTTAATTCCACTTTGTGATTGCTTTGTTTCATCACTCTCTGATTGGGTGTGATCTACAAATTTCCTTTTCCCACCTTTCGAATGGATCGCTTGGCATTCCTCCTTGCAATTCTTCTTCTCTTGTTCATTAAAGCCTTGAAAAAGAAAAGTGAAAACTGTGTATTTGAATTCCAGTAGGATTGGATCACAAACCTGAATTAATCGTTGACCCGGGACAATTCCATGGTGCCACAAACTCCGGAAGTGCATTGTATACTCTATCATGCTGGGGCAACAATATACCCAGCAACTTCCAACTTCAATAAAAGTTTCATCTCCACTTGTCTGCAGAGCAGAATCTTTGAAAGTCAAAGGGAATTTCTCAATGGCAATAGCTCCTCACCCTCAATTTAAGACTAATGCCAAACTCGGTACACAAGTGGGCATATCTCTAAGAAGGGAACATCCGTCTTAGAGGTCATCCAGTCGGTTATAGCAGCTAAGGGCCATCAGAAACCCAGTGACCAGGTTCAGGAGGGAATACCGAATCCTAGTAGGCAGAACCTGGTTCAAGAGAGGCCACACCATCAGTATATTCAGCCTCGTCCTCAGATTCTTGCTAATATCTTTTGTGAAATGAGTATTATGGTTTATGAGCAGAAAGCATTTAAAAAAAAAAACAATTTTCTTTATGTAAAAAGCCAGGCTATGCAGTTTTCCAATTTTTCTTTCAATAAATTTCCTTCTTCCATGTCAGTTTGGTCAAAGGGCTAAAACACCAGGCTAGAAACCGGGGGGCTCTGAGTACTAGTTTTGTCTTGGACATGAATGCTGGCTGGGTGACTTTGGGCCAATCTCTCTCAGCTCAACTCATATCATAGGATTTTTTTCCCTAGGGAAAACAGCAGGAGGAAGGAATATTGGGGTATGTCCACTGCCTATATTATTTTTAAAAAATAAAGGAAGTATATAGAGTGCATTCAGAATGTATTCAGGCTCCCTTCACTTCTGTTAATTTTATTATGCTGCCGCTTGATTCTATAACTGTAGAAATTCATTTTTTTTCCTCATTAATCTACACTAAGTACCTCATGATGACAAAGTGAAAACAGAATTTTAGAAATGTCTGTAAGTTTCTTAAAAAGAACTGAAATATCACGTTAATGTAAGTATTCAGACTCTTTGCAATGCTTGAAATATAGCTCAGGTGCCTCCCATTTCTTGTGATTGTTGCTGACATGTTTCTATGCCTTGAATGGAGTCTACCTGTGGTAAATTAAATTGATTGGACGAGATTCAGAAAGGCACACAGCTCTCCATAAATGGCCTCACAGCTGAGAATGCATACAGTAGCAGACCAAAAGCCATGAGGTGAAAGCAACTGCCTGCAGAGCTCAGAGATAGGATTATTGAGAAGGAACAGATCTAGGGAACGCTACCATAAAATTTCTGCTGCACTGATTCTTACCCAGAGAAAAGAGATTCCTGAAATTCTCCAGCATGACTTCTCCGTGGAGCACTTTTTGGTCAGCATCCAGTTGAGACCATTCCTCCTTGGAGAAATACACGGCTACTTCCTCAAAAGAAACAACATCCTGAAAAGGACACAAATTTCCTTATTAACAGATAATTCCAAGAATAATGGGATAATTTTCTTCCACTAATTTTAGGAAAGAGATCACGTGAACAAAATGGGCATCTTCTGCAGTATTACAAATAAGATCGCACCACTTTTGGCTGATGGCCCAACTAAATCATGTTTAATCAAGATGGAATGCTTTACGGTGTAACCAACTAAAATATTCTTGGTCAATTGACAGTTGGGTCTTAAATCCAATACTTATCAGTGACTCGCACTCTTCCTAGGATGGGCAGAGCAAAATACTGGCAAAACCCACCTGATATGTTTTCCAATGGCTCATTTTATCCACTGTGGAACCAACGTACCCCAACTCCACACCTTCATGAAGAATTTGGAAGAGCTTTTAATAGTACTCTATATATCTATGGAGATTCTCAATCACCAGGTCATGGTTGTCCCAAAGATGCTTTCCAAAAGGCAAAAAATGATATATTTTTTGTAATGGTGTGTAAGAATAACCCTGGGACACAGAAGGAAGAAGACCGATGCTGACAACAGTCTGGTCAATGAAATCTGATGGTGAAGAAGGAGGGGTGGAGAAAGCGACTGAGAAAGGATTCCCACAGAAGGGAGAAGGTAGGCTAAGCTGAGTGTGAATGTTCAGTGACCTGATGTCAAATTCGTATTCCTTAGAAACAACAATTTTATACACTGAACTCTAGAACAAAATAAGATCCATCCAAGATTTATGGACCTTTCCCATGTTTCTTCTCCTTACCTGAAGTAGCGGTTCAGCTAATCCTTCAGCTCCAGCAACAAGAGATGATTCTAAAAAGTACAAGGACGGCTTTCTACTCTCTATGAGAAAGAGGAAAATACTGGAAGCAGATTTGTTAAAAAGAGACACTCCAATAAAGTTGAGCGAAAGAATCAGCTAAATGTTAAAATCTCACCTCACACAGAAAGAGCTTTTCTTACCTTGCGTAGTGTCTTGATTTTGATCTTTCTGGAAATTCTCCCTGAAGATCGGATCTTGAGAAGTTCTGAATGAATCTTTTCCCCACTTGGGATACTCAATCAAAGCCTCCACGGATTTCTGGACATGATATGATATGAGAAACAAAGGAAGAGCAGAGAGATAGAAATGAATGATCATACTGCACGTTTAAACTAGTAGCCCCCAATGTCCATTGCCGAAACAGAATGGAGGAATTGCCCCAAATACATCCTCTGGAAGAATAGAAAAAATGCCCTTAGGAGTTAATAATCCCAGAAAACTCTGTCACAAAGGAATTGAGAACTTCAGAGAGATCCTCTTTAGAGCTGCCATGATTACAATCTCCCACCTGCAACTCTTCTTGCATGTTTTCCTCCTCCTGAGTCAGCAAGAAGCCTTCAGCCAGGGACACCGCCTGGGAACTGGTCTCTGCTCCACACTCCCGCACCCATTTCGCCACCTCTGGGGGAAGGACAGCCAGGAATTGTTCCAGGAGCACCAGGTCCAGCATCTGAGCCTTGGTGTGTTTTTCTGGTTGCAGCCACTGACAGCAAAGGTAGTGAAGCTGAGTGCAAACATCTCGGGGACGGCTCCCCTCCTGAAACTGAACTTTTGTGAAGTGACAACATTGGACCTCTGAACTATTGGATGCCTCTTCATGGCTCTTCTGCCCAGGATCTGGCCCATTCTTTCCACAGCTCCAAGGCTGAGCAGCTGGAGGGCCTATTCTAACTTCTGCATCTGCTGGGTGTTGTCCCACCATCTTCTCTCTGATGTATAATACAGCTACAAAATGGACTCAAGGATCTCCACAGGTCTTTCTGTTCACAAGAGGTCTGGCCAAATTTTCCAAGGCCATTCAGCTCTCTTCCCAGACAAGATACCTAAGATTCCTGAAGAAGGAAAAATTTCCAGCTTACATGCCTGAAATGGAAAAGAAATAATTCAGGGTGTTTACTAGGGTGATTAATTGAACTACTGACCATGCATATCAAGAGAGGAAATGGGAAGGGGAAACGGAAGGAAAAATTAAAAAAAAAAAAAAATTGGATGAACCTACCAATGTCTGGGATGGGTGAGGGGTAGGTGAAATCTTTTTAGTTAGCTTGCTCTCTCTACATATGGGGAAAATTGCAGAGAACCCTTCAGGGATGTCAATGTCTATCAAAATATTGGAAAACTACATTTAAATATTTTTTTTCCCCTAATTCCTAGTTTTTATTAAAATTTATTTTTTTATTTTTATGTCTTCTGTATTATTATTATTATTATTATTATTATTATTATTATTATTATTATTATTATTATTATTATTATTTACTCTAGGCAGCAATTATACATAATGCTCCTTCTTACTATTTCCTCCACAACAGCCCTGTGAAGTAGATTGGGCTGAGAGTTGGGATGGGCTCAAGGCTTTCATGCCAAAGGTTGGACTAGAAAGTTAATCTCCTGCTTTCAAAGCCTTGTGCTTCCATCACTGAACCAAATGGCTCTCTCTGGCGAACTATAATTTTATCATTTCTATGGCTTCATAGTTAAGAGCAACCATTTGCACAATTCAAATCATAAACGTCCCAGGTCACAAATAGCAATTGACATGAGGAGCTCCGTAAATCCACTTAATAAGTAAATAAATAAAGAATGGATTGCAACATCCAGTCTTTACAACGGCGAAACTTGACAAAAATACTGGCCTATTCTGGGACATAGTGACAATGAGGCATCTTCCTTCTTTACCTGCAGGCAGAGGCAGCTGGTGACTGGGGGGGAAAGGCGGGAAAGCAGGAAACAGTCCCGGAGAAAAAGTCTGACTTGGAGGCAGAAATCTCTCTTTTGCAAAGGCGGCCTCTCCTCCTCTCCCTCCCGTGCAGAGGTTTTCCCATCCAAATGGAGGGTAAATAAATGGCTCCCTCCTTTCTGAGGCCCTGGCTTTCTTCTCTCTAGTCTAAGGGCAACGGGAAGGATCCGAAGCTTTGCTTTCTCCCCTGCCTGGCCTGTGCATGCATAGGGGCGGCAGGGGAACATGGGACCACTGCTCCCCCCACCCCCCACCTCCATCCCAGGACTCCGAATCTGGTGCAAGTTTTGCATGTCTCCATCACTAAACCCCCAACTCACGTCTGGATCTCGGACCGTGCAAGAATTCCCTGCAGCCTCTTCCCTTTGCTAGAAAGGCTCACCCGAAAGTTCACAGCAAAGGTGGGAAGAAGAATCGGAGACCGTAGAAAGAGCGGAGAAGCTCTCAAGCCTCTGCTGAAAAATGCCTCGGGAAGCACGCAGCTCTCTTGTGAAAGAGGCCGGCGCATGCTCAGTTCTCCTGTTAGTGGTGGGGGAGTTGCAGGGAGCCCCCTAGAGGATCCTGTGCGCATTGCGTGGAGACCGTACAAAGGCGCAGGACGTCGTATTCAATGCGGGTTTAAAATGATGGGCATTAAACTTGAAGATCTTCCCTCTAACATTGCCTATCTAGAAAGGAAGTGGCCTCTCCAGCAGGCGTCAGTTTCTAGATTTTCCCTCTTTTTAATCTCTAAGAACCGTCTGTGATCTTGTGAAGATTGAGAAAATCTCTGTGGAGACTCAAAAATCCCTTTCCTGAAGAGCAGCTTCTCTGAAGGGTCTCTAGGGATTCCCAGGAGGAGGTCTCAAAAATGAGGAAAATCCTGTCAGGAATGGCAGGGCGGTCAAAAGATGAGGAACAAAACTCTCTATGAAACCCAGCCTGTGTCTTGTGGCGGATGGCAAACTCAGCCTTGAAGTGAGGGGAGATCAGGGGGCTGGCAGAGACACAGGGAGGAAAGCGACAGGTTGAGGAAAATTGAGATTTGTATTGATTTTTTTCCAATTAAATTAAAATAATATTGTTTTCTAGCCAAAAGTCATGAAGATTTCATTGGTTTGAAAAGATTAGTCTGGATTTGGAGATGACAGTTCAAGAAAATAGAGATTTAACTACAATTAATGAAATAAAGGATGAAGGGAAAGTTGTGGTTAACAAGCAATTTTAAAAGATTATCCGTAATTTCTCATTCTGGCTCTGTTCTTTCCAGCCCATTTTTCTATATAGCAAGGCTCCTTCTAAATCCAACCTGTTTAATTTTTTGTGTCCTCTGTTATGAAAAAATTGACGTGATTAGAAAACCGTAATCAGTGCCCTTTCAGCTGTTTCATTCTGAACCATCAATGAACAATATTTGAATAAATATTTTCAAAGAAGCCAGGTCCTCTGAAAGCCTGAAGTATTGCCTCCCACAAATCTTTCAAAAAGTTTCATGTATTTTTAATTTTTACAGTTAAAACAAAATGGAATTTAATAATGTTTCATGAATAACCATACCAGTGATGTTTAATTAAATTTAATTCACATTTAGACTTTTTCCTAAAAAGAATTGTTGTAAGTCAGGGACTCCCATTATTTTTGAGTTGCAGCATACACTCATTACCCTTTGACGCACAGAGCTGTTTGGAGATATTTTCAGGTGAAGATGAAAGGAATGCTTGCTTACCTGGATTTTCTAACTAATCTTTTAAAAATTCCAAAGAGGATTTTGTGTTTGGGATAGTAACTACTACATTTCACACTCAAATATTGTTCAACTATAAAACACTCTCCTTAAGAGAAGTAATAAAACTTCATGGCAGAGTGGTAAGGCATTGCTGTAGTAAATTATTTTTTACTTTTTTAAAACCTCCTTATGACTTTAAATAGCCTTTCTTGTGGGTTTTGAGTGCATGGGCTGCCTTCTCACAACTCACTGGAGCAATGAAGAATAATGAATTTCTTTAGGGAATACAGTAAATGCCAAGGGTTGGTGATACCATTCAAAAGGTAGATCATACATCTTACCGTATAACCACTCATTACATTTTGCGAGCCTCCCCACCTGCAGCCCCTTTTTGGCTGGCAGAGGCACTGCGTGTCAATCCTTTGATATTTCCAGGCCGGTCCCACGGCCAGATCTAAGCAGCCAGTGGGCCAAATCCGGCCCGCAGGCCTTGAGTTTGACACCCCAGTCCTATACCCTTTGAGACAAGTGGCTGTCCAGTTTCTTCTTAAAAACCTCCAGTGATTTTATTTTATTTATTTATTTATTATATTTCTATACTGCCTTTCTCCCGTAGGACTCAAGGCGGTGTACAGTCAAGAAAAATATAGACACACAAACATCATAAAATTGCTAATTAAAATTATTACTTAGTTTGGTCAATTAAATAAAACCCAGAATTAGATAACATTTAAAAAATCATTCACATGTTCGTATGTTTAGCCCCGCCTGTTGGAACATCAGGGTCTTGAGGGCATGGCGGAAAGCACGGAGATCAGGGATATTCCGTATCTCCGGGGGCAGTTCATTCCAAAGGGTTGGAGCCCCCACAGAGAAGGCCCTCCCCCTGGGAGTCGCCAGTCGACATAATTTGACTGACGGTACCCTGAGTAGTCCCTCCCTGTGAGAACGAACTGGTCGGTGGGAGGCTATTGGTGGCAAAAGACGGTCTCGTAGGTACCCAGGTCCTAAGCCATGGAGCGCTTTAAAGGTGATAACTAACACCTTGAATCGCACCCGGAAGACCACCGGGAGCCAGTGCAGCTCGCGTAGGAGAGGTGTTACATGGGCGTAACGAGCTGCGCCCATAATTATCCGCATGGCTACGTTCTGGACCAGTTGGAGCCTCCGGGTGCTTTTCAAGGGGAGCCCCATGTAGAGAGCATTACAGTAGTCCATACGGGAGGTAACTAGGGCATGAGTGATCGTGCGCAAGGCGTCCCGATCCAGAAAGGGATGCAACTGGCGGATCAGGCGAACCTGATAAAAGGCACCCCTGGCCACGGCCGTCAAATGATCTTCTAAAGATAACCGTGAATCCAGGAGGACACCCAAGTTGCGGGCCCTCTCTGTGGGGAGCAAGATCTCATCCCCTATTGTCAGTGATGGTACCAGCTGACTATACCAGGACGCCGGAAGCCACAGCCACTCGGTCTTGGAGGGGTTGAGTCTGAGCTTGTTTCTCCCCATCCAGATCCGCACGGCCTCCAGGCAACGGGACATTACAGATGTCCGTTATGAAACACTCATAACTTCTAAAGGCAAGCTGTTCCAAAAATAGTGGAATACTGTTATCATGTCACCTCTGTCCTTCTTTTCTCTTGATAAACCATACCCAATTCCTGCAAACATTCATATTTTAAACTCCAGGACCATATTCACCTTAGTTGCTATTCTCTACACTTTTTCCAAAGTCTCAAAATCTTTTTTGAAATCTAAGTAACCAGAACTGAATGCAGTATTTCAGGTGTGCTCTTACTAAGGTTTTATAAAGTGGTACTAATACGTCACAATTTTTGATTCTATGCCTCTATGCATAGGATTCTATTCACTTTTTTGGTTGCTGCCACACACTGCTGGCTGATATTTAAGTGATCGTCCACTAGGACTCCAAGGTTCCTCTCACAGTTACTGTTTTTGAGCTAGGTTTCGCCTAATCTGTACTTGTAACTTTTGGGGTTTTTTTTACTTTTCCTTAAATGTAAACCATTGCTTTTCTCCTCATTCGCATTCTCTCATTGTCTCCCTCTATCATTTTCTCTTTTTGCAGCCGTCACTAAGAGAAGGGGCACAGTAGTTAGGGTTTGCGGGAGCAGCCTCTGGGAGGCTGTACCATGTGCATGGCAGGTGCGTGTGGGGTGCGTGGGCCATGCTTCCCCCCTTCCCCCCCCCGTCTTGATTCCTCATCTCGTGCTGTTTGAACGGGAAGCAACGAGGCGGCCAGCGATGCTAGGGCTGGCAAGAGTGCGCCAGAAATAAAGACAGAACTTCTGGCCCTTGCTGGATCAGCTGATCTGTGATTTAGGGGCCTCCTGCACCTCAAAAATAATAAGACCTCCCCTAAAATAAGGCCAAGGGCTAATTTTGGGGGATCAAAAGAAAATAAGAGCCAGTCTTATTTTCAGGGAAACACGGTAGGTTACAAGTATTGCGAAAAAATTGACATTAGAGCAGCAGAAAAAAGCGTTCATATAGCTAAGGAGTGGAAACGTTCTGAAATAGAGGCTGCTGGGAAAAGTAAAGAGGTGTATAGGCCTCTCTTAGGAAAAAGATGTAAGAGCACTTCTCACACTTTCTGCACAGAGAAGTTGAAGCAGTGTGAGCAGGATGCAATTAGTAAAGGACTGGACAAGATGACAGGAAAGTATTAAGGTAGTACTTGTCGAGTATTCAATATAGTTTACGACCTGGCCCAAAGATCAAAACCATTTTCTGATGTAGAAGGTGAGATAGAATCACAAATTAAAAATGGAGCAGATCTGGGAATAGGATTGCATTCACGTAAAACCGCAGTGAAAATAGTTGAGTTCATTGCAAAAGACATTAGAAAACAATTATTTACTAAAATTATTGAAAAAAATCTGAAAATATGTTTGATTATTGACGAAGCCTCAACAATATCTTGCAAACCAGTTCATCGATTTGTTAGCCTTCCTCGGGAAAGATTTTTAGAAAGCATCATAACCAATTTAAAGAAAAGACTAATGGAGTGTGAACATTTAAAAACAGGTAGCCAATTCCAAGACATGAATAAATTACAATTTTCTAAATTTTTTGGAGCCAGATTACAGGAATATTGAAGAACTAGTAGTTCCATGGAAAGCAGCTGAAAAAGAATTGGTTGCATTTAGTGGCATTTTAATTACAAAATTAGTATCAATGACTATAGAGATTTTATAGAAAATGTTTTGAAAGATTTGGAGAAATATGCAATTCCTGACAGTATTTAAAAAGTGAAAGCTATTGTCAGAACAATTGCGATAAATTCAGCAGAAGCGGAAAGGGGTTTTTCACAAATAAACATCATATGTTCGGAGAGCGTAAATTGCCTAACTGTTTCTAATATAACCAACTTAATGACCATTAATTTAATTGGCCTACCCCTACAGGACTGGGACCCTAATCCTGTAGTTAAGAAATGGTTGAGAGTAAATCACAGTGCTGATGATGCTCGCGTGAAAGTGAAAAAAAAGGGTAATTGGGGATGCCAATAAAACTGCGATTTGGCAATACCTTAAATAAGTTTTATGGTTTTTTGTTAAGTATTTAATAGTTTTTCATTAATATTTTAAAACTCTTGTAACAATCTAGTTTTGTGTACCTCTTTTATAATAAACTAATAATACACTATCTTTTGGTATATATGATATCTTTTTTTATACTTAAAACTGTCATTAGAGCAAAGAAGTGATGTTGGTCGAGTTGGCCACACCCACCTGGTCACATGCCCACCTAGCCATGCCCCCAAGCCACGCCCACAGAACCGGTTGTTAAAAAATCTAAATCCCACCACTGTATGCAGGCCACACACCCACCCAGGCTCCGCAAAGGCAACAAACATTGCAATACGTCACAGTATGTCACATGATGCAATCAAGTTTGACACCCGTGCCCTAGGAGGAGCCTAATAAGCTCAGGAATTCACACCAAAACTTTGATGTGAATTGCATTCCCCGATCTGAGATTATATGTTTCAGAATACCATGCAACCAGTACAATAGCAATAGTTAACAATATACGTGCTGTAGAAATAGTGTATCAGAGATCAGCAATCCCCAACATTTTCAGCTTGGCGGCCCAGCTGGGGGAGAGAAGGGATGGTTATTTTTGAGCGGAAACTATACAGAACATGTGCAGCGCCATTTGCACGAGTGGCAGGCGTGTGAATGGAGCTTCACACACATGTGAACTGGTCTGCAGCTCATGCAAGCAGAGCTACGCTTGTGCTTACCCGCTATGTGTGCGCACCTGCCACCCACCCAAAACCATCCCCTCTTCCCCACCGGGCCGCCAAGCCGGAAAGGGTGGGGACCGCTGTTGTATAATATAAATATACTGAAAAGAAGAAGAGAAAGAAAACAAACAGAGAAAGAACTTGCACATTGTATGTTTCTTTTTTGCACCTTGGATAAAATATCCACACAACCCTCATCGGGAGACAGAAAGCTTAAGCTGTCTAGAATCTAGTACTTTTGATGAATGTTTGGGCTCAATTCAGACTTAAAACAGCAATACCCAAACTTTCTAGTTTGGTAGCCCAGTGACTGGGGGTGGGGTATGGGAAGAAGATGGTTCTCTACAAGCAGCAGGAACTCACGTGCGTAGCTCCATTCGTGGAAGCAGCCGGCGCACACATACACCACTCACACAAATGGAGCTTTCTGTGTGAGCCTGCCACGTGTGCAAGTGGACCTACGCATGTGCACGCTCACCCACTACTTACGCAGCCCAATTCTGAACAGGCGGCAGCCCGCATGTCGGGGACCCTGCTTTAAAAAGAACCCATAGCAAATCAGTGGTAGTAGTGGGATCAGACTCATGAGGCTCATTAAGTAACTACTATGTATGAAAACAAATCTTAGCTGCTATAGGAACAGAATTCAGCTCTCACAAACTAAAAGACTTTACAAGCAACAGCCAACAATCTGGATGGAGCAATCAGACCTCTCACTTGAGCCTTTCTCAGACAAGCAGATGGGAAAGGTAGAACAGCCAGAGAAGGGACTCGGCCCAGATACTAAGAAGTATTGAGGCAACAAGAAGAGGTATCAGATAACCTTTAATAAAATTGTGGTTTGTTGTTTTTAATCTAAAAGATACTTGAAGAATAACGTGATAATTGTGTTTGATATTTTGGAATATCAGGAACAATATAATGAAAAACAACCAGGAATATTTCTACATATAGATAACATCTTTGGAGTATTTGGACTTGGCAAAAACCACAAACAGGATTAGGGATTCACCTTGTATGCACTAGAAAGGCAATTTATGAATGCATATCTAAGAAGGTATACAATTATTGAATTATTAATCAAATGAATAAGATTTTAGACAACTATAGGTACTCCTCGATTTACTACAGTTCATATAGTGATTATTCAAAGTTATAGAAGCACTGAAAAACGTGACTTATGACCATTCTTCACATTTATGACCATTGCAAAATCCCCATGGTCACAGGATAAAACTTCAGATGCTTGGCAACGGATTCAAGACGGTTGCAGTGTTCCTGGTTCATGTAATCACATTTTGAGGGTTTATGACAAGCAAATTCAGTGGGGAAGCCAGGTTCATTTTATAATAATGTTGCTATCTTAACAAATACAGTGATTCGCTTAACAAATGTGACAGGAAAAGTCATAAAATGGGGCAAAATGCACTTAATAATTGTTTCGCTTAGCAACAGAAATTTTGGGCTCAATTGCAGTCCTACGGCGAGAACTATCTGGATTTCTATTGAAGATTTTCACATTCTATGTTTTTATATAGCTTCTCTCCCGTGTGGATCCTCTTGTGCACATTAAGACAATTGCTACGAGCAAAGCTCTTTCCACACTCCATGCATTTATAAGGTCTTTCTCCTGTGTGGATCGTCTTGTGGGAATTAAGATGACTGCTACGAGCAAAGCTCTTTCCACACTCCATGCATTTATAAGGTTTTTCTCCTGTGTGGATCCTCTTGTGGGAATTAAAATCACTGCTATAAGTAAAAGTCTTTCCACATTCCATGCATTTATATAGCTTCTCTCCCGTGTGGATCCTCTTGTGCACATTAAGACAATTGCTACGAGCAAAGCTCTTTCCACACTCCATGCATTTATAAGGTCTTTCTCCTGTGTGGATCGTCTTGTGGGAATTAAGATGACTGCTACGAGCAAAGCTCTTTCCACACTCCACGCATTTATAAGGTCTTTCTCCTGTGTGGATCCTCTTGTGAGAATTAAAATCACTGCTATAAATAAAAGTCTTTCCACATTCCATGCATTTATAAGGTCTCTCTCCTGTGTGATTCCTTTGATGGATTATAAGAGAGTAATTATAACAAAAGGTCTTTCCACATTCCATACATTGATACGGCTTCCCCTCTGTATGGATAGTTTTATGGTGAATCAGAGCACTCATCTGCCTAAAACCCTTTCCACACTCCAAACATTCATAAGGTCTTTCTCCTGTATGGATCTTCTTGTGGGAATTAAGATAACTGCTACGAGCAAAGTTCTTTCCACACTCCATGCATTCATAAGGTCTTTCTGCTGAGTGGATCCTCTTGTGGGAATTAAGATAACTGCTATGAGCAAAGCTCTTTCCACACTCTGTGCATTCATAAGGTCTTTCTCCTGAGTGGATCCTCTTGTGGGAATTAAGATGACTGCTACGAATAAAGGTTTTTCCACACTCCATGCATTTATAAGGTCTTTCTCCTGTGTGATTCCTCTGATGTCTTATAAGAGAGTAATTATAACGGAAGGTCTTTCCACACTCCATACAAGTAAATTGTTTCTCTTCAGAATGTTTCTTTTTATGAGAAATGAGATGATCGGATTTATTAAAAATCTTTCCACACTCCATGCATTTATGTAGTCTTTCTCCCGAATTGATCACTGTATTATTAGGAAGCCAACTGACCACAGGAAGATCTTTTTTAATTCCACTTTGTGATTTCTTTGTGTCATCACTCTTTAGTTTCATCTGAGCTACAAATTTCCTTTCCCCCCCTTTCAAATGGATTGCTTGGCATTCCTCCTTGCAATTTATATTCTCTTGCCCATTAAAGCCTTGAAAAAGAAAAGTGAAAACTGTAGCCAGAATAGGGGAACAATCAAAACTTTTCTTCTGAAATTTAGCCAAAGAATCATCAATGTATTTCAGCTGTTTTGTTGGCAAACACAAAGAGTCCAAACGAAGATTATAGCAAAGACCCATTTCCAAGTGTATCCCTAATGATCCCCATATAATAGGTTTGGATCACAGCCCTTATTCAATCTTTCATCTGGGACAATTCCATGCTGCCACAAACTCCCAAAGTGCATTGGAAACTGTGTCATAATGGGGCAGCAACACACGCAGTTCCTCCCAGCTTCAATAAAAGACTCATCTCCACTTGTCTGCAGAGCAGAATCTTTGAAAGTCAAAGGGAATTTCTGGATGGCAATACCTCCCCACTCTAAACTTAAGACTAATGCCAAATTCGGTATAGAAGTGGGCATATCCTAAAAAGGGAATCACCCTCTCAGGGCTCATCCAGTCTTAGTTATAGCAGTTCAGGGCCATCAGGAACCCAGTGACCAGGTTCAGGAGGGAATAACGAATCATGGTAGCCAGAACCTTCCTCAGTACATTCAGCCTCTTCCTCAGATTCTTCCTTACATCGTCTATGAAATATTTTGTATATTATGAGCAGAAAGCTTTTTTTTAAAAAAAAATTCCTCTATGTAAAAAGCCAGGCCAATTTTTCTTTCAATAAATTTCCTTCTTCTATAAAGTCAGTTTGGTCAACAGGTTAAGACACCAGGCTAGAAACTAATCAATTTACAGACATTTCTAAAATTTTGTTTTCCTTTTGGGTACCCAGTGTTGATTAATGAGAAAAAAATGAATTTCAACAACTATAGAATCAGGCTGCAGCATAAGAAAATTGATAAAAGTGAAGGGAGTCTGAATACATTCTGAATGCATTCCATATCCTTCCTTTATTTTTTTTGTAAATAAAGGTAGCGGACAAACCCAAAATTCATTCTTCCTGCTGTTTTCCATACAACAATCCTGTGAAATGGATTGGAGAGAGTTTTGGCCCAAAGTCACCCAGCCAGCATTCATGCCTAAGGCAAAACAAGTACTCACTCACAGTCACCCAGTTTCTACCCTGGTGTCTTAACCCTTTGACCAAACTGATTTTATGGAAGAAGGAAATTTATTCAAAGAAATTATTAGATAAACGAAATTGTTTTTTATAAAAGAATGCTTTCTGCTCATAAAATACAAAATACTCGTTTCTGAATACTTTATCAATACACTATAAATAAATGATATTTTTTCCAGAAATAACATGTAAGCCTCTTCTCTATATTCCTGAACATAGAAAGGGATTCTTACCCAGGTAAGCCAGATTCCTGGAATTCTCCAGCATGACTTCTCTGTAGAGCTCTCTTTGATCAGCATCCAGTTGAGACCACTCCTCCTTGGAGAAATACACGGCCACTTCCTCAAAAGACACAACATCCTGAACAAGGAAACAATTTTCCCTATTAACAGATAATTCCAAGAATAATGGGATAATTTTCTTCCACCAATTCTAGGGAAGAGATCATGTGAACAAAATGGGCATCTTCTGCAGAATTAAGAATAAGATCTTACCGCTTTTGGCTGATGGCACAACTAAATCATATTTGATCAATATGGAAGTGTTTGGAATGCCTTACGGTGTAACCAACTAAAATATTCTTAGTCAGTTGGTAGTTAGGTCTTAAATCCAATACTTATCAATGACTCCCATTCTTCCTAGAATGGGCAGAGAGAAATATTGGCAAAACCCAGCTGACATGTTTTCCAATGGCTCATTTTATCCACTGTGGAACCAACTTTCATGAAGAATTTGGAAGAGCTTGTAATAGTACTTTATATATCTATGGAGATTCTCAATCACCAGGTCATGGTTGTCCCAAAGATGCTTTCCAAAAGGCAAAAAATGATATATTTTTTGTAATGGTGTGTGAGAATAACCCTGGGAGACAGAAGGAAGAGTCCTGATGCTGACAACAGTCTGATCAATGAAATCTGATGGTGAAGTAGGAGAGGTGGAGAAAACGACTCACAAAGGATCCCCTCAGAAGGAAGAGGGTAGTCTAAACTGAGTGTGAATGTTCAGTGACCTGATATAAAATTCATATTGCTTAGAAACAACGATTTTATACCTTGAACTCTAGAAGAAGATGAAATCCATCCCAGATTGATGGACCTTTTCCGATCTTATTTCACCTTACCTGAAGTAGCGGTTCAGCTATACCTGTAGCGTCTTGGCTTTGATCTTTCTGGAAGTTCTCCCTGAACAGCAGCTCTTGAGAAGATTTGAATGAATGTTTCCCCTCCTTAGGATACTCAGGCACAGCTTCCATGCATTTCTGGATATGATATGATATGATATGAGAAACAAAGGAAGAGCACAGAGATAGAAATAAATTATCATACTGCACTTTCAAACTAGAAGACCCCAAAGTCCATTGCTGAAAGAATTGCCCCAAATACATCCTCTGGAAGAATAGAACTGATGCCCTTAGGAGTTTATAATCCCAGAAAATTCAGCCAGATAGAAGTTGGCAAATTCAGAGAGATCCTCTTTAGAGCTGCCCTGATTCCATTCTCCCACCTGCAACTCTTCCTGCATGTTTTCCTCCTCCTGAGTCAGCAAGAAGCCTTCAGCCAGGGACACCGCCTGGGAACTGGTCTCTGCTCCACACTCCCGCACCCATCTTGCCATCTCTGGGGGAAGGACAGCCAGGAATTGTTCCAGGAGCACCAGGTCCAGCATCTGAGCATTGGTGTGTTTTTCTGGTTGCAGCCACTGACGACAAAGGTAGTGAAGCTGAGTGCAAACATCTCGGGGACGGCTCCCCTCCTGAAACTGCACTTTTGTGAAGTGACAGCATTGGACCTCTGAATTATTGGATGCCTCTTCGTGGCTCTTCTGCCCAGGACTTGCCCCATTCTTCCCACAGCTCCAAGGCTGAGCAGCTGGAGGGCCTTTTCTAACTTCTGCATCTGCTGGGTGTTGTCCCTCCATCTTCTCTCTGATGTATAATACAGCTATAAAATGGACTCAAGGATCTCCACAGGTCTTTCTCTTCACAAGAGGTCTGGCCAAATTTTCCAAAGCCATTCAGCTCTCTTCCCAGACAAGATACTTAAGATTCCAGAAGAAGCAGAAAAAAATTCCAGCTTGCATGCCTGAAATGGAACAAATAATTTAGGATATTTACTAGTGTGATTAATTGAACGACTGTGCATCCTTATCAAGAGAGGGAAGAGAAGGGGGAAGGAAAAATTAAAAAAAAGAAATTTGGATGTACAGGGTAGGTCTGTGTCTTAATTACCTTGATCTCTACATATGGGGGAAATTGCTGAGAAATTGTTAAAATTTATTTTTTATTTTTATGTCTTCTGTATTATTATTATTAATTACTCTAGGAAGCATTTATACAGAATGTTCCTTTTCATTATTTTCCCCACAACAATAGCCCTGTGAAGTAGATTGGGCTGAGAGTTGGGATGGGCTCAAGGATTTCATGCCGAAGGTTGGACTAGAAAATTAATCTCCTGGTTTCAAAGCCTTGTGCTTTCATCACTAAACCAAATGGCTCTCTATGGCTGAATATAATTTTATTATTTCTATGGCTTCATAGTTAAGAGCAACCATTTGCACAATTCAAATCATAAACATCCCAGGTCACAAATAGCAATTGACATGAGGGGCTCCGTAAATCCACTTAATAAGTAAGTAAATAAACAATGGATTGCAACACCCAGGATTTACAACAAAGGCCAAGCTGGCCTAATCCTTTATCAAAACGGAGCCACGAGATTTGCAGGAAACAGTCCCGGAGAAAAAGTCTGACTTGGAGGCAGAAATCTCTGTTTTGCAAAGGCGACCTCTCCTCCTCTCCCTCCCGTGCAGAGGTTTTCCCATCCAAATGGAGGGTAAATAAATGGCTCCCTCCTTTCTGAGGCCCTGGCTTTCTTCTCTCTAGTCTAAGGGCAACGGGAAGGATCCGAAGCTTTGCTTTCTCCCCTGCCTGGCCTGTGCATGCATAGGGGCGGCAGGGGAACATGGAATCAGGCCCCACTTTCCCACGACTCCAAGTCTGATGAAGTTTTAAATGTCTCCAATGTGAGCCTCCAGCGCGGGAGAAAAGTCCCATCACTGAACCCCAAATCACGTCTCGATCTGGAATCATGAAAACCTCCCTGCAGCCTCTTCCCTTTGCTAGAAAGGCTCACCCAAAGGTTCACAGTTGGGGGTGGGGGGGCAGAATCGGAGACCGTAGAAAGAGCGGACAAACTTTCAAGTCTTTATAGGATAATGCCTCGGGAAGCAAGCATCTCCTCTCTTGACTTGGGAAAGAGGCTGGCGCATGCTCAGTTCTCTTGTAAGGGGGGAGGGAGGGAGCTGTACCGGTTTTCCAGGGAGCCCCCTAGAGGATCCTGTGCGCATTGCATGCAGACCCTGCAAAAGCGCGGGACGTCATGTTCCATACGGGTCTGGGGTGATGGGCATTAAACTTGAAGGAAAGGTTCCCTCTAACGTTGCCTGTCTAGAAAGGAAGTGGCATCTCCGGCAAGCATCAGTTTCTAGATTTTCCATTTTTTAATGCCTAAGAACCATCTGTGATCTTGTGAAGATTGAGAAAATCACTTTGGAGACTCAAAAATCCCTTTCCTGAAGAGCAGCTTCTCTGAAGGGTCTCCAGGGATTCCCAAGAGGAGGCCTCAAAAATGAGGAAAATCCTGTCAGAAATGGCAGGGCGGTCAAAAGACAAGGAAGAAAAGTCTCTCTATGAAACCCAGCCTGTGTCTTGTGGCTGATGGCAAACTCAGCCTTGAAGTGAGGGGGAGATCAGGGGGCTGGCAGAGACACAGGGAGGAAAGCTACAGGTTGAGGAAAATGAAGATTTGTATTGATTTTTCTTTTTCAATTATTAAATGTGCCTTTTCAAATTCATGCCTCTGGGCAGCCAAGGAGGATTAGAAATCCCAAAGGCAGCCTGTAATGATGTGAATAATCCTGAAGTATAGATCCTGATGAAAAAGAGGCATCAAAAGAAAATTCCCAAAATGGAGCAAAAGCTCAAAATTCTGGATCTTTAAATTTTTTTTACCTCAAAACAAGCCACCATGATGGAGAAATGAAGATTGGGAGAATGTGTGTCTCATATGTGACTAGAGAAAAAGTAGAATTACAAAAAGAAGGAAGGCAAATACTGAAAAATAAATATAAAGTTCAAATACTACAAGGCAAAAAAAAAAAAAAGAGACATGAGTGGCGTAGGAGGCTAATGCCTCCTACTAAGGCAGCATTTAACATCCAGCTGCCTGCAATTACTGCGAGTTCAGTTCTCACCAGGCTCAAGGTCAACTCAGCCTTCCATCCTTTCTAAGGTGAGTAAAATGAGGACCCGATTTGTGGGAGCAATAAGCTGACTTTGTATAAAATATACAAAAGTATGAAGGCTATTGCTTAACGCACTGTAAGCCACCCTGAGTCTCCGGAGAAGGGCGGCATATAAAAATAAATAAAAATAAAAAAATAAAAATAGTTTTATTTTGGAGTTGAGTAACAAATACGCTTCAGGAAATTTTAGTAGGAACCTTAAGGCCTTTGGAGGAAAAGAATATTTTTTTCTAGCCAAAAGTAATGAAGATTTCACTGGTTTTATAAACTGGTACTAATACTTCACGATTTTTGATTCTATGTCTCTGTTTATGCAACCAAGGATTTTTTGGTTGCTGCCACACATTGCTGGCTGATATTTAAGTGATTGTCCACCAGGACTCCAAGGTTCCTCTCACAGTTACTGTTTTTGAGCTAGGTTTCACCTAATCTATACTTGTATATTTTGCTTTTTTTTTTTTTTTTGCTTAAGTGTAAATCCTTCTCTCCACATTAAATATCATTTTCTTGGTAAGGCCCATAGTTCATGTTTGTCAAGATCTTTTTGGATTCTGAACATGTCTTCTGGGGTGTTGGCTATTCCTACCAGTTTAGTGTTATCTGCAAATTTGATGAGTTCCCCTTCTATTCCCTCATCTAAGTCTTTTATGAAGATATTGAAGAGTACTGGGCCTAAGACAGAACCTGGTGATACTCTACTGCTTACTTTTTTTTTTAAATTTGATTTATATGCCACCCTTCTCCGGAGACTCAGGGCGGCTTACAGTGCGTTAAGCAATACCCTTCATACTTTTGTATATTTTATACAAAGTCAGCTTATTGCCCCCACAAACTGGGTCCTCAATTTACTTACCTTAGAAAGGATGGAAGGCTGAGTCAACCTTGAGCCTGGCAAGATTCAAACTTACTTTAATTGCAGACAGCTGGTGTTAAATTACAGTGCTTAGTCTGCAGAGCTATCCAGGCTTACTTCCCTTCATGTAGATGTCGTACCATTAAGGACTACTCGGTCAGTAGTGTTTGTCAGCCAATTACAAATCCATCTAGTGGTGATGATGTCTATCCCACATTTTTCCAGTTTACCAAGAAATAAGTTGTGGTCTACTTTGTTGAATACCTTACTGAAATCTAAATATACTATGTCCACAGCAATGGTGGGTTTCACTTACTTTTGCTACTGGTTTGCTTGTGTGCGTGCCACTTCTGCACATGCCCAAACTGGGGCGAACCAGTAGCAACCCACCACTTATCCACAGCATTTCGCTGGTCTACTAATTTAGTCTCCTTGTCAAGGAATAAAATGATGTTTTGGCACGATCTGTTTTAACAAACCCATACAGGCTTTCTGTGATTTGCAAGTATGATGATCTACACATCCCAGAGCCAGTTATCCTGGCCTCTATCTGACTATTTGTCAAGAGAAACTGAAGTTAGTTTCTGAATATGACCCCAGGACACTGCAGTTGGCATAAATAGGAACCAGTTGTCAAGCATTTGATCATGTGTTCACGGGGATGGTGCAAAGCAGGGGTGTCAAACTCAATTTCATTAAGGGCCATATCAGCATTATGGTTGTCCTCCAAGGGCCAGTTGCATGTAAGACTATGATAACTCACAGAGGCCGAGTGGGCATGGTTAATTCGATACCACTCACTGGGCGCGAGTGACTTGGGACAGCTGGGTCAGGATGGAATAAGTTGCACTGGCTAATTCAAGGTGGGTGGCCATATGAGAAGGCAGTTCCTGTAATCGTGAGGGAATATTGATCCTTCTGAGATGAGATCAGCCTACAAAATGGTATCTTGTATAAGGGTCCAAGAGTCATAGTGCCAAAGTCAGTTAAAGCAGAAATGTTATTTGCACATAACACTCAAGCCACATTAGTGGTGAGGCATGCTACAGGCAAGCTCATTACACTCTTTACTGGCCTAATATGCAAGGCGAAATCAAAGACTTTGTTAGCAATTGTCCCACTTTCAATGAATATGCACATTTGCAACAAAAAGAAACCATGATTTGTTCAACTATGCCAGAAAAGAGTACCTGATCTTAGTTGATCATTATTTAGACTTTTGGGAAATTGAACTTCTTCCTGACCGCTCAGCTGAAAATACCATTAAGAGATGCAAGGCTCAGTTTGCACGTCATGGCCAACCAGATAAAGTGATCTCTGATGATGGAACTCAGTTCACAAGCCTACAATTTAGGAAATTTGCCGCTGAGTGGGACTTTCAGCATGTGACTTCCTCACCATGTCATCCACAAGCAAATCGCAAAGCTGAATCAGCTGTGAAGATTGTTAAGAATGTATGCAAGAAAGCACATAGTGATGGTAAAGACCAGTGGTGGGTTGCCTCCAGTTCAGACTGGTTCGCAAGAACCAGTAGTAAAACCGGCAGGAGGCCCTGCTCACTGCCCCTGATATCATCATCAGCGATCTGCGCATGCATAGATCACACGCGCGATCCCGTTGCGAACTGACAGTAAAGGTAAGTAGAACCCACCCCTGGTAAAGACCCATGGAAAGCCATTCTACATTGGATAAATACTCCAACTAAGGGCATGGACAGTAGTCCAGCACAGAGACTGATGTCAAGGAGACTAATGACATCCTTACCAGTGGCAAATAAGCTGCTTGGGCCCTCTGTGATACAAGGGGTACCAGAAAAGTTATGGCTTAAGAGACAAGTATTCAAGGAAAGATATGAGATTTGCCAAAATTGAATATTGGGGAACAAATCTGTATGAGACCACTGCCTGGAGATTGAACAGGTCGCTGGAAAATGGGTATCTGTTTACAACAGGTGGCTCCTATCTAGTGGACATTGAAGGAACTCTCTATCATCGCAATTGTGTTGATTTGCATGTGGCTGAGCAGCTGGACTCTCCATATCCAGTGGACAGGCCAGATTCACCTGGTATTACCTTCTCAAGCCCAGGCATGATTGGCAGTTTACAAGCTCAGATGTGGATAAGTCTCCAAGCTTGGATTGGTGTGTGTGTGTGTGTGTGTGTGTGTGCGTGCGTGTGCATGTGTGTGCACAGCATGCCAAAAGACACGTTCTCCCAATCTCAGACATCATTGCCGTTTGTTTCTCTGTCCGGTACCCCCTAGAATCCAGTACTTTTGATAAATGTTTTGAGCTCAATTCTTTTCAAATTGGGTATGATTGATGATTTGAAACAGCAGTCCCTAACATTTCTGGCTTGGTAGAAGTTTAGAATAACAGAGTTGGAAGGAACCTTGGAGGTCTTCTAGTCCAACCCCGTGCTTAGGCAGGAAACTTTACACCACTTCAGACAAATGGCTATCCAACATCTTCTTAAAAACTTCCAGTGTTGGAACACTCACAACCTCTGGAGGCATGTTGTTTCACTGATTCATTTTTCTGTCAGGAAATTTCTCCTTAGTTCTAGGTTGCTTCTCTCCTTGATTAGTTTCCACCCATTGCTTATCCTACCCACAGGTGTTTTGGAGAATAGCTTCACTCCCTCTTCTTTTTGGCAGCCCCTGCGATATTGGAACACTGCTTTCTTGTTACCCCCAGTCCTTCTTTTTGTCAGACTAGACATACCCAGTTCCAGCAATCGTTCTTTGTTTTAGCCTCCAGTCCTCCAGTCCTCCAATCATCTTTGTTGCTTTTCTCTGCAGTTTCTAGAGTCTCCACATCTTTTTTACATCATGATGACCAAAACTGGATGTAATATTTCAAGTGTGGCCTTACCAAGGCATTATAAAGTGCTATTAACACGTCATTCTTGATTCTATCCGTTTATGCAGCCTAGAACTGTGTTGGCTTTTTTGGCAGGTGCAGCACATTGCTGGCTCATATTTATATGATTGTCCATTAGGATTCCAAGATCTCTCTCAGTTACTACTATTGAGCAAAGCACCACATATACTGTTTGTCAGGAATCTGTTGGATCTTCCACTTGGTACAGAATTTGTTTCCCAGTTGATGGTAGGGTAACCATCAACTTAAAATTCCCCATTACTATTGTGATGCGTTTCCTACATACCTTAGTTAACTGACTAGCAAAAAGTTCATCTATTCCCTCTGGTTGGTTGGGTGGCCTATAGTATACACCTATGGCAATGTAATTTTCCCCCCTTTAATGTTGACCCAAATGTATTCAAGGCAGTTTTTGTCATTGTTGTGTTCTATTTCTGTAGAGAAGCAGTTATTTCTTATATATAGTGCAACTCCACCTCCTCTTTTATTTGGTCAATTTCTTTTAAAGAATTTAAATCCCTCTAGCTGTTATGTACCATTTGTGGGTTTAATCCCACCAAGTTTCCGTAATGGCAACAATATCATATCTGCCCTCATTAAATTGAATTTCTAATTCACCCTGTGTATTCCTCAAACTCTGCATTGGTGTATAGACATTTGAGTCCAGCAAGGTGGTGGTGGTGAGGGGGAGAGAAAGGATGGTTCTGTGCAAGTAGCCAGCAGACGCATGCATGCACAGCTCCATTTGTGGAAGTACTTGGCCTGTGCACCCACCGCTCACACAAATGGAGCTTCGCACATCAGCATGAGTGCCTACCCTTGCGCAAGTGGAGATACATGCGCACACACTCACCGACTGCTTCCGCGGCCTAGTTCCGAACAGGCCACAGCCTGTGGGTTGGGGACTCCTGGTTTAAAAAGAATCCATGAGAAATTGGTGGTATCCAACATTCTGGATGCGGCAATCAGAACTCTCACTGGAGTCTTCTTCAGACAAGCGGAGATGGAAAAGGTAGGACAGGCAGAGAAAGGGGCCCAGATACTTGGCCCAATATCAGAACAGAAATATTCAGGCAATAACAAAAGGTATCAGATAACCTCTAACAAAGTTGTGGGTTTTTTTTTTTCTTTTTAAACCTAAGACATAATTGAAGAATAATGTGATAATTGTGTTTGGTATTTTGGAATATTTGAAACAATATAATGAAAAACAACCTGGAATATTTCTACACGTAGAGAAGGCCTTTTTCTATTTGAATTTGGGAAAAACCACAAGCAGGATTAGGGATCCACACTGTTCTGGTTTGCACTAGAAAGGCAATTTATGCATGCACGTCTAAGAAGAGCTACAGCTTCTTTGGATTATTACTCAGATGGTCCTTGCATGAGATTTTAGACAACTACAGGTAGTCGTCAATTTACTAAAATTCATTTAGTGATTGTTCAAAGTTACAGCAACACTGAAAAAAGTGACTTATTACCATTTTTCACATTTATGACTTGCAGCATCCTGATGGTCACCTGATCAAACTTCAGATGCTTTGCAACTGATTCATGACAATTGCAGTGTCCCTGGATCATGTGATCACATTTTGTGAGCTTCTGACAAGCAAATTGAATGGGGAAGCCAGATTCATTTCACAGCAGTGTTATTAATTTAACAACTACAGTCATTCACTTAACAAATGTGGCAAGAAATGTCGTAAAACGGGGCAAAATGCACAATGACTGTTTCACTAAGCAACAGAAACTTTGGGCACAATTGCAGTCGTAAGGTGAGAACTATCTGGATTTCTATTGAAGCTCTCTCCACAATTCCTTTACTGATATGGTTTCTCCCATGTGTGGATGCTTCTATGGCGAGTAAAAGCGTTACTACTTCAAAAGCTCCACTCCATGCATTCATATAGTTTTTTCTCCAGAATGGATCCTTTTATGGGACATGAGATCACAACTCCTTTTAAAGCCATCTCCACATTCCACACATTGATAAGGTCTTTCTCCTGTGTGGATCTTCTTGTGAGAATTAAGATAACTGCTACAAATAAAGGTCTTTTCACACTCCATGCATTTATAAGGTCTTTCTCGTGAGTGGATTCTCTTGTGGGAATTAAGATAACTCCTACAAGCAAAGGTCTTTCCACACTCCGTGCATTCATAAGGTCTTTCTCCTTTGTGATTCATTTGATGGGTTATGAAAGAACGATTATAACAAAAGGTCTTTCCACAATCCATGCATTGATACGGTTTCTCTCCTGTGTGGATCCTCTTGTGGGTATTAAGATTACCACTCTTCCTAAAACCCTTTCCACACTCCATGCATTTATATGGCTTCTCTCCTGTGTGGATCAAATTGTGGGAATTAAGACTACTGCTACAAGTAAAGGTTTTTCCACATTTCATGCATTTATAAGGTCTTTCTCCTTTGTGATTCCTTTGATGTCTTATAAAAGAATGATTAAAACAGAAGGTCTTTCCACACTCCATGCATTCATATAGCTTCTCTGTTGTGTGGATCCTCTTGTGGGAATTAAGATGACTGCCCCGAGTAAAGGTCTTTCCACATTCCAAGCATTTATAAGGTCTTTCTCTTTTGTGAATCCTATTATGGGAGGCAAGATGATTACTTTTCTTAAAACCCTTTCCACACTCCATGCACTTATAAGATCGTTCTCCTTTGTGAATAATTTCATGTCTTCTAAGAGAGTGATTATCACAGAAAGTCTTTCCACACTCCCTGCAGGTAGTTGATTTCTCTTCTGAATGTGTCTTTTTATGAGAAAAGAGATGATCGTATTTATTGAACGTCTTTCCACACTCCATGGATTTATATGGCCTTTCTCCCATATCTATGATTGTATGATAAGGAAGCCAACTGACCAGAGAAAAACCATTGTTAATTCCACTTCGTGATTGCTTTGTTTCATCACTCTTCGGTTGCATCTGATCTTCAAATTTCGTTTCCTCCCCTTTCGAATGGATCGCTTGGCATTTCTGCTTGCAATTCTTATTCTTTTGACCATTAAAGCCTTGAAAAAGAAAAAGGAAAACTGTATGTTTTCATTCCAAAAGGATAGGATCACAATCCTGAACTAACCGTTGACCTGGGACAATTCCATGGTGCCCCAAACTCCTGAAGTATATTGGATACCATATCATGCTGGGGCAGCAACATACCCAGCACCTCCCAACTACCATAAAAGTCTTATCTCCACATGTTTGCAGAGCAGAATCTTTGAAAGTCAAAGGGAATTTCTGGATGGCAATAGCTCCCCACCCTCAACTTGGACTTATTTCAAACTTGGCACATAAATAGGCACATCTCTAAGAAGGGAACATCCCAGAAAAGTGAAAACTGTAGCAAGAATAGGTAACAATCAAACCTTTTCTTCTGAAATTTAGCCGAAATAACATCAATATATTTTGGCTGTTTTTGTTGGCAAACATGAAGATTCCAGACTACGATTACAGCAAGGATCCCTTTCTAAGTGTACCCCTACTGATCCTCATATATCAAGATTGGATTACATCACAATGAACCAAATACAGCACCATGATCTAATCTTTGACCTGGGACAATTCCATGCTTCCACAAATTCCAGAAGTGCATTGGACACTGTATCATGCTGGGGCAGCAACATACCCACCAGCTCCCAACTTCAAAAAATGTCTCATCTCCACTTGTCTGCAGAGCAGAATCTTTGAAGGTAAAATGGAATTTCTGGATGGCAATAGCTCCCCACACTCAATTTAGGCTAATGCCAAACTCGGTACACGACTGGGCATATCTCTAAGAAGGGAACCTCCCTCTCAGAAGTCACCCGGTCTTGTTATAGCAGTTCAGGGCCATCAGGAACCCAGTGACCAGGTTCAGGAGGGAATACTGAATCCTGGTAGCCAGAACCTGGCTCAAGAGAGGCCACACATCCCTGCATGGAGCCTGTCCCTCCAAGTCTTGCTAATGTCTTCTATGAAACGAGTATTGTGTATTTTATGAGCAGAAAGCATTTTTTAAAAAAAAAAATCTTTATGTAAAAAGCCAGGCTATGCAGTTTTCCAATTTTTCCAATTTCCAGTTCACCTGTGGTCAATTCAATTGATTGGACGAGATTTGGAAAGACACACAGCTCTCCATAAATGGCCTCACAGCTGAGAATGCATACGGTAGCAGACCAAAAGCCATGAGGTCAAAGGAACTGCCTGCAGAGCTCAGACATAGGATTATTGCAAAGAAACAGATCTAGGGAAGGCTACCATAAAATTTCTGCTGCACTGAAGGTTCCTAAGAGCAAAATGGACTCCATAATTCTCAAATGGAAGAAGTTTGGCACAACCAGGACCAAGACCAAGACCACAACCAAGAGCTGGTTGCCCACTCAAACTCAGCGACTGAGATAGAAGGGCCTTAGTAAGAGAGGTGACCGAGAAATCGATGGTCACTCTGAGCTCCAGACAGCAGAAGTAGCCTGCAGTACTGCATTCAAACCATTGCGCCACCATGGCTCATGAAAGTCCTAGTGGCCCAGCCTGACTTGAACCTTATTTAACATATCTGGAGGGACCTGAAAATGGCTGTCCACCGATAATCGCCATGGAACCTGACTTAGCCTAAGAGAATTTGCTAGCAAGAATGGCAGAAAATCCCACAATCCAGGTGTACAAAGCTTGTTGTGTCATACCCAAAAAGACATGGTTGTACATGCTTGCCAATGGTGCTTCAACAAACTATTGAGTGAAAAGATCTGAATACTTATGCCAATGTGACATTTCAGTTTTTTTCTTTTTACTAAATTTACAGACATTTCTAAAATTTTGTTTTCACTTTGTCATTATCGGATACTGAGTGTAGATAAATGAGAAAAAAGTGAATTTCAACAACTGTAGAATCAGGCTGCACCATAACAAAATTCTACGAAGTGAAAAGGTTATGAATACTTTCTGAATGCACTGTAAATAAATGAATTTTTTTCCAGAAATAACATTCAAGCCACTTCTCTATGTTCCTGAGCAGAGACAGTGCTTCTTACCCAGAAAAAAGAGATTCCTGGAATTCTCCAGCATGACTTCTCGGTAGAGCTCTTTTTGGTCAGCATCCAGTTGAGACCACTCTTCTTCCGAGAAATACATGGCCACTTCCTCAAAAGAAACAACATCCTGGACAAGGAAACAAGTTTCCTTATTAACAGATAATCAGAAGAAAAATGGGATAATTTTCTTCCACCAACTCTAAGACAAATAACACGTAAACAAAATGGGCATCGTCTGCAGAATTCAGAATGAGATCTCACCGCTTTTGGTTGGTGGCACAACTAAATCATGTTTGATGAAGCTGGAAGTGTTTGGAATGCCTTACAGTTTAGCCAACTAAAATATTCTTGGTCACTTGGTAGTTGGGTCTTAAATCCACTACTTATTAATGACTCCCTTTCTTCCTAGAATAGACAGAGCAAAATACTGGCAAAACCCAACTTATATGTTTTCCAATGGCTCGTTTTATCTACTGAAGGACCAATGTACCCCAACTCCACACCTTCATGAAGGAAATTGAAGAGCTTATAATTGTACTCTATATTTCTATGGAGATTCTCAATCATCAGGTCACATTTGTCCCAAAGATGCTTTTCAAAAGGGAAAAAAGAGTATTTTTTTGATGGTCTGTGTGAACAACCCTGGGGGACAGAAGGAACAGCCCTGATGCTGACAACAGTCTGGTCAATGAAATCTAATGGTGAAGCAGGAGGGGTAGAGAAAGCAACTCACAAGGGATCTGCTCAGAAGGGAGAAGGTAGGCTAAGCTGAGTGTGACTGTTCAATGACCTGATGTCAAATTTGTATTGCTTAGAAACAACAAATTTATACATTGAACTCTAGAACAAAATGAAATCCATCCAAGATTTATGGACCTTTTCAATGTTTCTTCTCCTTACCTGAAGCGATGGTTCAGCTAATCCTTCAGCTCCAGCACAAAGAGGTGATTCTAAAAAGTCCAAGGATAGCTTTCTACTCTCTATGAGAAAGAGAAAAATAGTGGAATCAGATTTGTTAAAGAGAGAAACTCCAATGAAGTGGAGCAAAAGAATCAGCTAAATGTTGAAATCTCACCTCACATAGAAAGAACTTTTCTTACCTTGCATAGCGTCTTGATTTTGATCTTTCTGGAAGTTCTCCCTGAAGAGCAGCTCTTGAGAAGACCTGAATGAATCTTTCCCCTCTTTAGAATACTCAGTCACAGTTTCCACGGATTTCTGCACATGATGTGATATGAGAAACAAAGGAAGAGCAGAGAGATAGAAATGAATTATCATACTGCACCTTCAAACTAGCAGACCCCAATGTCCATTGTTGAAACAGAATGGAGGAATGGCCCCAAATACATCCTCTGGAAGAATAGAACAAATGCCCTTAGGAATTAATAATCCCAGAAAATTCAGCCAGATAGAAGTTGACAACTTCAGAGAGATCCTCTTTAAAGCCGCCATGATTACATTCTCCCACCTGCAACTCTTCTTGCATGTTTTCCTCCTCCTGAGTCAGCAAGAAGCCTTCAGCCAGGGACACTGCCTGGGAACTGGTCTCTGCTCCACACTCCCGCACCCATTTTGCCATCTCTGGGGAAGAACAGCCAGGAATTGTTCCAGGAGCACCAGGTCCAGCATCTGAGCCTTGGTGTGTTTTTCTGGTTGCAGCCACTGACAGCAAAGGTAGTGAAGCTGAGTGCAAACATCTCGGGGACGGCTCCCCTCCTGAAACTGCACTTTTCTGAAGTGACAACATTGGACCTCTGAACTATTGGATGCCTCTTCATGGCTCTTCTGCCCAGGATCTGGCCCATTCTTTCCACAGCTCCAAGGCTGAGCAGCTGGAGGGCCTTTTCTAACTTCTGCATCTGCTGGGTGTTGTCCCTCCATCTTCTCTCTGGTCTCTAATAAAGCTCCAAAATGGACTCAAGGATCTCCACAGGTCTTTCTGTTCACAAGAGGTCTGGCCAAATTTTCCACGGCCATTCTGCTCTCTTCCCAGACAAGATACTTAAGATTCCCAGAAGAAGCAGAAAAAATTTCCAGCTTACATGCCTGAAATGGAACAAATAATTTAGGACATTTACTAGTGTGATTGTGATTAATCCTTACCAAGAGAGGGAAGAGAAGGGGGAAGGAAATATTTAAAAAAAAGGAATTTGGATGTACGGGGTAGGTCTGTGTCTTAATTACCTTGATCTCTACATATGGGGGAAATTGCTGAGAAATTATTAAAATTTATTTTTTATTTTTATTAATTAATCTAGGCAGCAATTATACACAATGTTCCTTTTCATTATTTTCCCCACAACAACAGCCCTGTGAAGTAGATTGGGCTGAGAGTTGCGATGGGCTCAAGGATTTCATGCCGAAGGTTGGACTAGATCTAGAAATTAATCTCCTGGTTTCAAGCCTTGTGCTTCCATCACTAAACCAAATGGCTCTCTATGGCGAACTATAATTTTATCATTTCTATGGCTTCATAGTTAAGAGCAACCATTTGCACAATTCAAATCATAAACATCCCAGGTCACAAATAGCAATTGACATGAGGAGCTCCGTAAATCCACTTAATAAGTAAATAAATAAACAATGGATTGCAACATCCAGGCTTTACAAAGGCGAAACTTGACAAAAATACTGGCCTATTCTGGGACATAGTGACAATGAGGCATCTTCCTTCTTTACCTGCAGGCAGAGGCAGCTGGTGACTGGGGGGGAAAGGCGGGAAAGCAGGAAACAGTCCCGGAGAAAAAGTCTGACTTGGAGGCAGAAATCTCTCTTTTACAAAGGCGACCTCTCCTCCTCCCCCTCCCGTGCAGAGGTTTTCCCATCCAAATGGAGGGTAAATAAATGGCTCCCTCCTTTCTGAGGCCCTGGCTTTCTTCTCTCTAGTCTAAGGGCAACGGGAAGGATGTGCATGCATAGGGGCGGCAGGGGAACATGGGACCACTGCTCCCCCCACCCCCCACCTCCATCCCAGGACTCCGAATCTGGTGCAAGTTTTGCATGTCTCCATACGAGCCCCCATCACTAAACACCGAATCACTCCTGGATCTCGGACGGTGCAAGAATTCTCTGCAGCCTCTTCCCTTTGCTAGAAAGGCTCACCCGAAAGTTCACAGCGAAGGTGGGAAGCAGAATCGGAGACCGTGGAAAGAGCGGAGAAGCTCTCAAGCCTCTGCTGGAAAATGCCTCGGGAAGCACGCAGCTCCCCTGAGTTGAGAAAGAGGCCGGCGCATGCTCAGTTCTCCTGTAACGGGGGGGAGGGAGGGAGCTTCACCGCTTTTCCAGGGAGCCCCCTAGAGGATCCTTTGCGCATTGCATGATGACCCTGCAAGGGCGCAGGACGTCGTGTTCCATGACGATCTGGGATGATGGGCATTAAACTTGAAGGAAACCTTCCCTCTAACATTGCCTATCTAGAAAGGAAGTGGCATCTCCAGCAGGCGTCAGTTTCTAGATTTTCCCTCTTTTTAATCTCTAAGAACCGTCTGTGATCTTGTGAAGATTGAGAAAATCTCTGTGGAGGCTCAAAATTCCCTTTCCTGAAGAGCAGCTTCTCTGAAGGGTCTCCAGGGATTCCCAAGAGGAGGCCTCAAAAATGAGCAAAATCCTGTCAGAAATGGCAGGGCGGTCAAAAGACAAGGGAGAAAAGTCTCTCTATGAAACCCAGCCTGTGTCTTGTGGCTGATGGCAAATTCGGCCTTGAAGTGAGGGGAGATCAGGGGGCTGGCAGAGACAAGCGGGGAAAGCGACAGGTTGAGGAAAATTGAGATTTGTATTGATTTTTTTTTTCAATTATTACAGCTTCCTTTTCAAATTCATGCCTATGGGCAGTCAAGGAGGGTTAGAAACACCAAAGGCAGTTTGTAATGATGTGAATAATCCTGAAGTATAGATCCTGATGAAAAAGAGGCATCAAAAGAAAATTCCCAAAATGGAACGAAAGCTCAAACTTCTGGACCTTTAAATTTTTTTACCTCAAAACAAACCATCATGATGGAGAAATGAAGATTGGGAGAATAAAGTCTCATATGTGATTAGAGAAAAAGTATAATTACAAAAGAAGGAAGGCAAATACTGAAAAATAAATATAAAGCTCAAATACTACAAGGCAAAAAAAAAGAGAGACATGAATAGTTTTATTTTGGTGTTGAGTAAGGAATACGCTTCAGGAAATTTTAGTAGGAACTTTGGAGTAAAAGAATATTTTTTTCTAGCCAAAAGTAATGAAGATTTCACTGGCTTTATAAAGTGGTACCAATACATCATAATTTTTGATTCTATGCCTCTGTTTATGCAAAAGGATTTTTTGGTTGCTGCCACACATTGCTGGCTGATATTTAAGTGATTGTCCACCAGGACTCCAAGATTCTTCTCAGTTACTGTTTTTGAGCTAGGTTTCACCTAATTTATACTCGTACTTTTTGGCTTTTTTTTTTACTTAAGTATAAACCCTTCTCTCCACATTAAATTTCATTTTCTTGGATAAAGCCCATTGTTCATGTTTGTCAAAATCTTTTTGGATTCTGAACATGTGTTGTGGGGTGTTGGCTATTCCTGCCAGCTTAATGTCATCTCCAAATTTGATGAGTTCCCCTTCTATTCCCTCCTCTAAGTCCTTTATGAATATATTGAAGAGTACTGGGCCCAAGACAGAACCTTGTGGTACTCTACTGCTTACTTCCCTTCATGTAGATGTAGTACCATTAAGGATTACTCGTTCAGTACAGCTTGTTATCCAATTACAAATTCATCTAGAGGTGATGATGTCTATCCCACATTTTTCCAGTTTACCAAGAAATAGGTTGTGGTCTACTTTGTTGAATACCTTACTGAAATCTAAATATACTATGTCCACGGCAGTGGTGGGTTTCACTTACCTTTGCTACTGGTTTGCTCGTGTGCGCGCTGCTTCTGCACATGCCCAAACCGGGGCAAACCAGTAGCAACCCATCATTGGTCCACAGCATTTTTTGCTGGTCTACTAATTTAGTCTCCTTGTCAAAGAATAAAATGATATTGAAAAATAAGGAAGTAAGTTAAATGAATGAAGAAAGGAGGGGGAAAATGTGGACGATCAACTTATAGGATAGAGGGAATGAAAGAAAGTAGAAAATGAATGTTAAATAGGTTAATACTAAAATATCTGTAAATATTGATATATAGAAAGGATCACTGCATACAGCCGAAAAGAAAGTGATATTTTCTCTTTTTTTGTTTTTATTTTTCTTCTATAAATGTTGTATGTCTGTTTTGTTTTTAATGTGTTTAAAATAAAAAACTTTTAAAAAAAAATAAAATGTTTTGGCATGATCTGTTTTAACAAACACATAAAGGCTTTCTGTGATTTGCAAGTATGATGATCTACACATCCCAGAGCCAGTTATCCTGACCTCCATCTGTTATTTGTCAAGAGAAACTGAAGTTAGTTTCTGAATATGATCCCAGGGCACTGCAACTGGCATTAATCTATCTGGACCCGTGCCAGTCGGGCTTCAGGCAGGGGTACAGCACAGAAACGGCATTGGTCGCGTGGGTGGATGATCTCTGGAGGGCTCGGGACAGGGGTTGCTCCTCTGTCCTAGTCCTATTAGATCTCTCAGCGGCTTTTGATACCATCGACCATGGTATCATGTTGCAGCGGTTGAGGGGGTTAGGAACAGGGGGCACCGTTTTGTGGTGGTTCTCCTCCTTCCTCTCCGAACGCTCGCAGTTTGTGTTGGCAGGGGGGCAGAGGTCGACCTCGAGGCATCTCGCATGGGGAGTGCCGCAAGGGTCGGTCCGCTCACCCCTTCTGTTCAACATTTATGTGAAGCCGCTGGATGAGATCATCCGTGGTTTTGGGGTGAAGTGTCATCTGTATGCTGATGACACTCAGCTGCACATCTCCACCCCAGACCACCCCAACGATGCCCTTGATGTGATGTCTCGCTGCCTGGAGGCCGTGCGGGTCTGGATGGGGAGGAACAGGCTCAGACTCAACCCCTCCAAGACTGAGTGGCTGTGGCTTCCGGCGTCCCGATATAGTCAGCAGGTGCCATCGCTGACTATTGGGGGTGAATCTTTGCCCCCCACCGAGAGGGCTCACAATCTGGGTGTCCTCCTGGATGCACGGCTGTCTTTAGAAGAGTATATGACAGCCGTGGCCAGGGGGGGCTTTTATCAGGTTCGCCTGATTCGCCAGTTGCAGCCATTTCTGGACCGGGACGCCTTGCACACGGTCACTCACACCCTTGTCACCTCCCGGCTGGACTATTGTAATGCTCTCTACATGGGGCTCCCTTTGAAGAGCACTCGGAGGCTCCAACTGGTCCAGAATGCGGCAGCGCGGGTGGTTATGGGCGCAACTCGTTACGCCCATGTAACACCCCTCCTGCGCGAGCTGCACTGGCTCCCAGTGGTCTTCCGGGGGCGATTCAAGGTGCTGGTTACCACTTTTAAAGTGCTCCATGGCATAGGACCCGGGTACCTTCGAGACCGACTTCTGCCACCAATAGCCTTCCACCGGCCAGTTCACTCCCACAGGGAGGGTCTCCTCAGGGTGCCATCAGCCAAGTTATGTCGGCTGGCGACACCCAGGGGGAGGGCCTTCTCTGTGGGAGCCCCTGCCCTGTGGAATGAACTGCCCCCGGAAATACGCAAGATCCCCGACCTCCGGGTATTTCGCTGTGCACTGAAGACCCTGTTGTTCCGCCAGGCTGGGCTATCGACATGATAATTTTAAATTGGGGTATTTTAAATTTCTGGGGTTTTAAATGGAGCCAAATTTATTTAATAATTTTAAATTTTAAATTGATGTTTGTCTTGCGTTTTTAAATACGCTGTACACCGCCCTGAGTCCTTCGGGAGAAGGGCGGTATAGAAATAAAATTATTATTATTATTATTATTATTATTATTATTATTAGGAACCAGATGTCAAGCATTTGATCACATGTTCATGGGGATGGTGCAAAGCAGGGGTGACAAACTCAATTTCATTAAGGGCCATATCAGCATTATGTCCTCGATTTTTTACAGTTCATATAATGATTATTCAAAGTTATAGAAACACTGAAAAACATGATTTCTGAACTTTATTCGCACTTATGAACAACATCCCGATGGTCACCTGACCCAATCTCAGATGCATGGCAACTGATTCATGACAGCTGCAGAATTCCTGGATCATGTGATCATCTTTTGTGAGCTTCTGACAAGCAAAACCAATGGGGAAGCCAGATTCATTTCACAACAGTGTTACTAACTTAACAATTACAGTGATTCAGTTAACAAATGTGGCAAGAAAACTTGTAATATGGGGCAAAACACAGTAAGTCTCTCGCTTAGCAACAAAAATTTTGGGCTCAATTGCAGTCATTACGTGGGGACTACCTGGATTTCTCTTGGGAGTTCTACCCACACTTCTTTTATTGATATGGTTTCTGCCCTGTATGGATCCTCTTCTGGGAATTAAGACTACTGCTATAAGTAAAGGTCTTTTCACACTCCATTCATTTATAAGGTGTTTCTCCTGTGATTCCTTTTATGGGTTTTAAAAGAATAATGATAACAGAAGGTCTCTCCACACTCCATGCATTGATACGGTTTCTCTCCTGTGTGGATCCTCTTGTGGGTATTAAGATTACCACTCTTCCTAAAACCCTTTCCACACTCCATGCAATGATATGGCTTCTCTCCTGTATGGATCAAATTGTGGGATTTCAGACTACTGCTACAAGTAAAGGTTTTTCCACACTCCATGCATTTATAAGGTCTTTCTCCTGTGTGGATCCATACATGTCTTCTAAGAGCCTCATAATAACAGAAGGTCTCATCACATTCCCTGCATTGATACAGTTTCTCTCCTGTGTGGATCTGCTTGTGGATATTAAGATGAGTGTTACGAGTAAATGTCTTTCCACACTCCATGCATTGATATGGCCTCTCTCCTGTGTGGATCAGCTTGTGGGTATTAAGATGAGTATTACGAGTAAATGTCTTTCCACACTCCATGCATTTATAAGGTCGTTCTCCTGTGTGGATCCTTTGATGTCTTATAAAATAGTGATTATAAGAGAAGGTCTTTCCACACTCCATGCAGGTAAATCGTTTCTCTTCTGAATGTGTCTTTTTATGAGAAATGAGATTATTGGATTTATTGAACCTCTTTCCACACTCCATGAATTTATATGGTACTTCCTCCTTATCGATCACTGTATGGTTAAGAAGCCAGCTGACCTGAGGAAGACTTTTTTTAATTCCACTTTGTGATTGATGTGTTTCATCCCTTTTTGGTTGCGTCTGATCTACAAATTTCCTTTTCCACTCTTTCAAATGGATCGCTTGGCTTTCCTCCTTGCAATTCTTATTTTCTTGCCCATTAAAGCCTTGAAAAAGAAAAATGAAAACTGTGACAAGAATAAGGGAACAATCAAAACTGTTCTTCTGAAATTTAGCCAAATCAGTCATCACTGTTTTGTTGACAAACACGAATAGTCCAAACTAAGATTATAGCAAAGTCCCTTTTCCAAGTGTATCCCTAATGATCCTCATATAATAGGATTGGACCACAACTGTGATCTAATTTTTGACCTGGAACAATTCCTTGGTGCCACAAACTCCCGAAGTGCATTGTACACTCTATCATGCTGGGGCAGCAACATACCCAGCACCTCCCAACTTCAATAAAACTCTCATCTCCACTTGTTTGCAAAGCAGAATCTTTGGAAGTCAAAGGGAATTTCTGGATGGCAATAGCTTGCCACCCTCAACTTAGGCGGATGCCAAATTTGGCATATAAGTGGGCATATCCCTAAGAAGGGAACTCTTAGAGATCAACTGGTCCGTTATAGCAGCTCAGGGCCATCAGGAACCCAGTGACCAGGTTCAGGAGGGAATACCGAATCCTGGTAGCCAGAACCTGGCTCAAGAGAGGCCACCACATCCCTGCATGGAGCCTGTCCCTCCAAGTCTTGCTAATGTTTTCTATGAGTATTGTGTATTTTATGAGCAGAAAGCATTTTTTTTGAAAAAAATCTTTATGTAAAAAGCCAGGCTATGCAGTTTTCCAATTTTTCCAATTTCCAGTTCACCTGTGGTCAATTCAATTGATTGGACGAGATTTGGAAAGACACACAGCTCTCCATAAATGGCCTCACAGCTGAGAATGCATACGGTAGCAGACCAAAAGCCATGAGGTCAAAGGAACTGCCTGCAGAGCTCAGACATAGGATTATTGCAAAGGAACAGATCTAGGGAAGGCTACCATAAAATTTCTGCTGCACTGAAGGTTCCTAAGAGCAAAATGGACTCCATAATTCTCAAATGGAAGATGTTTGGCGCAACCAGGACTCTTCCAAGAGCTGGTTGCCCACTCAAACTTAGCAACTGAGATAGAAGGGCCTTATTAAGAGGTGACCGAGAAATCGAAGGTCACTCTGACTGAGCTCCAGACAGCAGAAGTACTGCATTCTAACCACTGTGCCACCACGGTTCATGAAAGTCCTAGAGTGGCCCAGCCTGACTTGAACCTTATTTAACATCTCTGGAGGGACCTGAAAATGGCTGTCCACCGATAATCGCCATGCAATCTGACTTAGCCTGAGCGGATTTGCTAGCAAGAATGGCAGAAAATCCCCCAATCCAGGTGTGCAAAGCTTGTGGTGTCATACCCAAAAAGACATGGTTGTACATGCTTGCCAACGGTGCTTCAACAAACTATTGAGTGAAAAAATCTGAATACTTATGCCAATGTGATATTTCAGTTTTTTTCTTTTTACTAAATTTATAGACATTTCTAAAATTTTGTTTTCACTTTATCATTATCAGATACTGAGTGTAGATAAATGAGAAATAAGTGAATTTCAACAACTGTAGAATCAGGCTGCACCATAGCAAAACTCTACAAAGTGAAGGGGGTTTGAATGCTTTCTGAACGCACTGTAAATCAATGAATTTTTTCCAGAAATAACATTCAAGCCCTTTCTCCATGTTCCTGAGCACAGACAGTGGATCTTACCCAGAAAAAGGAGATTCCTGGAATTCTCCAGCATGACTTCTCTGTAGAGCTCTCTTTGATCAGCATCCAGTTGAGACCACTCTTCCTCCGAGAAATACATGGCCACTTCCTCAAAAGAAACAACATCCTGGACAAGGAAACAAGTTTCCTTATTAACAGATAATCCGAAGAAAAATGGGATAATTTTCTTCCACCAATTCTAGGACAAAGATCACGTAAACAAAATGGGCATCGTCTGCAGAATTCAGAATGAGATCTCACCACTTTTGGCTGATGGCATAACTAAATCATGTTTGATGAAGCTGGAAGTGTTTGGAATGCCTTACGGTTTAACCAACTAAAATATTCTTGCTCAATTGGTAGTTGGGTTTTAAATCCACTACTTATTAATGACTCCATTTCTTCCTAGGATAGACAGAGCAAAATACTGGCAAAACCCAACTGATATGTTTTCCAATGGCTCATTTTATCCACTGAAGGATCAACGTACCCCAACTCCGCACCTTCATGAACGAAATGGAAGAGCTTGTAATACTACTCTGTATGTCTATGGAGATTCTCAATCACCAGGTCACATTTGTCCCAAAGATGCTTTTCAAAAGGCAAAAAAGAGTATTTTTTTTAATGGTCTGTGTGAACAACCATGGGGGACAGAAGGAACAGCTCTGATGCTGACAACAGTCTGGTCAATGAAATCTGATGGTGAAGAAGGAGGGGTGGAGAAAGCGACTCACAAAGGATCCGCTCAGAAGGGAGAAGGTAGGCTAAGCTGAATGTGACTGTTCAATGACCTGATGTCAAATTTGTATTGCTTAGAAACAACAAATGTATACATTGAACACTAGAACAAAATGAAATCCATCCAAGATTTATGGACCTTTTCCATGTTTCTTCTCCTTATCTGAAGTGGTGGTTCAGCTAATCCTTCAGCTCCAGCACAAAGAGGTGATTCTAAAAAGTCCAAGGACAGCTGTCTACTCTCTATGAGAAAGAGAAAAATAGTGGAAGCAGATTTGTTAAAGAGAGAAACTCCAATGAAGTGGAGCAAAAGAATCAGCTAAATGTTGAAATCTCACCTCACATAGAAATAACTTTTCTTACCTTGCATAGCATCTTGATTTTGATCTTTCTGTAAATTCTCCATGAAGAGCAGCTCTTGAGAAGCTTTGAATGAATCTTTCCCCTCGTTAGAATACTCAGTCATAGTTTCCACGTATTTCTGGACATGATGTGACATGAGAAACAAAGGAAGAGCACAGAGATAGAAATGAATTATCATACTACATCTTCAAACTAGCAGACCCCAATGCCCATTGCTGAAACAAAATGGAAGAATTACCCCAAATACATCCTCTGGAAGAATAGAACAAATGCCCTTAGGAATTAATAATCCCAGAAAATTCTGCCAAAAAGGAGTTGTCAAATTCAAAGAGATCCTCTTTAGAACTGCCCTGATTCCATTCTCCCACCTGCAACTCTTCCTGCATGTTTTCCTCCTCCTGAGTCAGCAAGAAGCCTTCAGCCAGGGACACCGCCTGGGAACTGGTCTCTGCTCCACACTCCTGCACCCATCTTGCCACCTCTGGGGGAAGGACAGCCAGGAATTGTTCCAGGAGCACCAGGTCCAGCATCTGAGCCTTGGTGTGTTTTTCTGGTTGCAGCCACTGACGACAAAGGTAGTGAAGCTGAGTGCAAACATCTCGGGGACGGCTCCCTCCTGAAACTGCACTTTTGTGAAGTGACAGCATTGGGCCTCTGAACTGTTGGATGCCTCTTCGTGGCTCTTCTGCCCAGGACTTGCCCCATTCTTCCCACAGCTCCAAGGCTGAGCAGCTGGAGGGACTTTTCTAACTTCTGCATCTGCTGGGTGTTGTCCCTCCATCTTCTCTCTGGTCTCTAATAAAGCTCCAAAATGGACCCATGGATCTCCACAGGTCTTTCTGTTCGCAAGAGGTCTGGCCAAATTTTCCAAGGCCATTCAGCTCTCTTCCCAGACAAGATACTTAAGATTCCAGAAGAACCAGAAAAAAATTCCAGCTTAATTGCCTGAAATGGAACAAATAATTTAGGATGCTTACTAGTGTGATTAACTGAACGACTGTGCATCCTTATCAAGAGAGGGAAGAGAAGGGGGAAGGAAAAATAAAAAAAAGAAATTTGGATGAACCTACCAATGTCTGGGATGGGGTGGGGGGTGGGAAATCATATTAGTTAGCTTGCTCTCTCTACATATGGGGGAAATTGCAGAGATTTTCTCTCAGGGTGTGACATTTAAAATTCCCAAGTTTTATACCCACAACTCCAAGACAAGTCTGGCTAACAAAATCAAAGATTTATTGGAGAAAAACATGAAAATAAAAAAGAAAAGAAAAGCGGTTGCAAGCGCGGCCTCTTAGACTCTTCCTAAATGGATTGAGTTCAGAGAGCACAAAAAGCAGTTTTCAAGCTATACATTTTATACACCTTCACAATGCACGCCAAGCCTAAGGAGCCCTCCCAACTCCCCCTTATTCTCTTAAATTCATCCTTTAAGTTGTTTTACACTTTAAAAGGGTTTTCTTAACAATTTCCCTCCATCTCTGATGTTCCTGCCTCCTGATAGCTTTTTGCCCAAGCCTTAAGTTCCTGTTTCCTGAAGAGCTCTTAGCAAGTCATAATGCATTGTCTCCACTAATTACCATTTGTGGTCACTTTACATAGTCAGAAAACAGCAGACAGATAATCTCACACTTTACTATTTATAAAAGAATAACCTTTATTTATTTCCTTTAAGGGATATTAATGTCTATCAAAATATTGGAAAAATACGTTTAAATATGTTTTTGATTTCTAATTCCTAGTTTTTATTAAAATTTAATTTTTTATTTTTATGTCTTCTGTATTAGTATTACTATAAATTACTCTAGGCAGCAATTATACATAATGCTCCTTCTTACTATTTCCCCCACAACAGCCCTGTGAAGTAGATTGGGCTGAGAGCTGGGATGGGCTCAAGGCTTTCATGCCAAAGGTTGGACTAGAAAGTTAATCTCCTGCTTTCAAAGCCTTGTGCTTTCATCACTTAACCAAATGGCTCTCTCTGGCGAACTATAATTTTATCATTTCTATGGCTTCATAGTTAAGAGCAACCATTTGCACAATTCAAATCATAAACGTCCCAGGTCACAAAACAGCAATTGACATGAGGAGCTCCCTAAATCCACTTAATAAGTAAGTAAATAATCAATGGATTGCAACATCCAGGCTTTACAAAGGCGAAACTTGACAAAAATACTGGCCTATTCTGGGACAAAGTGACAACGAGGCATCTTCCTTCTTTACCTGCAGGCAGAGGCAGCTGGTGACTGGGGGGAAAGGCGGGAAAGCAGGAAATTGTCCCGGGGAAAAAGTCTGACTTGGAGGCAGAAATCTCTGTTTTGCAAAGGCGACCTCTCCTCCTCTCCCTCCCGTGCAGAGGTTTTCCCATCCAAATGGAGGGTAAATAAATGGCTCCTTCCTTTCTGAGGCCCTGGCTTTCTTCTCTCTAGTCTAAGGGCAACGGGAAGGATCCGAAGCTTTGCTTTCTCCCCTGCCTGGCCTGTGCATGCATAGGGGCGGCAGGGGAACATGGGACCACTGCTCCCCCCACCCCCATCCCAGGACTCCGAATCTGGTGCAAGTTTTGCATGTCTCCATGCGAGTCTCCATCACTGAAACCCCAACTCACGTCTGGGTCTCGGACGGTGCAAGAATTCCCTGCAGCCTCTTCCCTTCGCTAGAAAGGCTCACAGCGAGGGAGGGAGGGCGGGGAGCAGAATCGGAAACCGTAGAAAAAGCGGAGAAGCTTTCAAATCGCTGCTGGAAAATGCCTCGGGAAGCATGCAGCCCGCGCATGCTCAGTTCTCCTGTAAGGGGGGGAGCTGCACCGGTTTTCCAGGGAACCCCCTGGAGGATCCTGTGAGCATTGCATGAAGACCCTACAAAGGCGCAGGACGTCATGTTCCATGCGGGTCTGGGATGATGGGCATTAAACTTGAAGGAAACCTTCCCTCTAACGTTGCCTATCTAGAAAGGAAGTGGCCTCTCCAGCAGGCGTCAGTTTCTAGATTTTCCCTCTTTTTAACCTCTTAAGAACCGTCTGTGATCTTGTGAAGATTGAGAAAATCTCTGTGGAGACTCAAAAATCCCTTTCCTGAAGAGCAGCTTCTCTGAAGGGTCTCTAGGGATTCCCAGGAGGAGGCCTCAAAAATGAGGAAAATCCTGTCAGAAATGGCAGGGCGGTCAAAAGACAAGGGAGAAAAGTCTCTCTATGAAACCCAGCCTGTGTCTTGTGGCGGATGGCAAACTCAGCCTTGAAGTGAGGGGAGATCAGGGGGCTGGCAGAGACACAGGGAGCAAAGCGACCGACCGGTTGAGGAAAATTAAGATTTGTATTGATTTTTCTTTAGTGAGTTCAATTATTACAGCTTCCTTTTCAAATTCATGCCTATGGGCAGTCAAGGAGGGTTAGAAACACCAAAGGCAGTTTATAATGATGTGAATAATACTGAAGTATAGATCCTGATGAAAAAGAGGCATCAAAAGAAAATTCCCAAAATGGAACGAAAGCTCAAACTTCTGGACCTTTACAATTTTTTACCTCAAAACAAGCCACCATGATGGAGAAATGAAGATTGGGAGAATAAAGTCTCATATGTGACTAGAGAAAAAGTAGAATTACAAAAAGAACGAAGGGAAATACTGTGAAGTAAATATAAAGCTCAAATACTACAAGGCAAAAAAAAGAGAGACATGAATAGTTTTATTTTCGTGTTGAGTAGGGAATATGCTTCAGGAAATTTTAGTCGGAACCTTAGGGCCTTTGGAGTAAAAGAATATTTTTTCTAGCCAAAAGTATTGAAGATTTCACTGGCTTTATAAAGTGGTACTAATACTTCACAATTTTTGATTCTGTGCCTCTGTTTATGCAACGAAGGATTTTTTGCTGGCTGATATTTAAGTGATTGTCCACCAGGACTCCAAGTTTTATCTCACAGTTACTGTTTTTGAGCTAGGTTTCACCTAATCTATACTTGTACCTTTCTCCTTTTTTTTTTTTTTACTTAAGTGTAAACCCTTCTCTCCACATTAAATTTCATTTTCTTGGATAAAGCCCATTGTTCATGTTTGTCAAGATCTTTTTGGATTCTGAACATGTCTTGTGGGGTGTTGGCTATTCCTGCCAGCTTAGTGTCATATGCAAATTTATGAGTCCCCTTCTATTCCCTCATTTAAGTCCTTTACGAAGATATTGAAGAGTACTGGGCCCAAGACAGAACCTTGTGGTACTCTACTGCTTACTTCCCTTCATGTAGATGTAGTACCATTAAGGATTACTCGTTCAGTACAGCTTGTTATCCAATTACAAATTCATCTAGAGGTGATGATGTCTATCCCACATTTTTCCAGTTTACCAAGAAATAGGTTGTGGTCTACTTTGTTGAATACCTTGCTGAAATCTAAATATACTATGTCCACGGCAGTGGTGGGTTTCACTTACCTTTGCTACTGGTTTGCTCGTGTGCGCGCTGCTTCTGCACATGCCCAAACCGGGGCAAACCAGTAGCAACCCACCACTGGTCCACAGCATTTTTCGCTGGTCTACTAATTTAGTCTCCTTGTCAAAGAATAAAATGATATTGAAAAATAAGGAAGTAAGTTAAATGAATGAAGAAAGGAGGGGGAAAATGTGGACGATCAACTTATAGGATAGAGGGAATGAAAGAAAGTAGAAAATGAATGTTAAATAAGTTAATACTAAAATATCTGTAAATATTGATATATAGAAAGGATCACTGCATACAGCCGAAAAGAAAGTGATATTTTCTCTTTTTTTGTTTTTATTTTTTATTTTTCTTCTATAAATGTTGTATGTCTATTTTGTTTTTAATGTGTTTAAAACTTTTTTAAAAAAATAAAATGTTTTGGCATGATCTGTTTTAACAAACCCATACAGGCTTTCTGTGATTTGCAAGTATGATGATCTACACATCCCAGAGCCAGTTATCCTGACCTCCATCTGTCTATTTGTCAAGAGAAACTGAAGTTAGTTTCTGAATATGACCCCAGGGCACTGCAATTGGCATAAATAGGAACCAGTTGTCAAGCATTTGATCACATGTTCATGGGGATGGTGCAAAGCAGGGGTGACAAACTCAATTTCATTAAGGGCCATATCAGCATTATGTCCTCGATTTTCTACAGTTCATATAATGATTATTCAAAGTTATAGAAACACTGAAAAACATGATTTCTGAACTTTTTTCGCACTTATGAACAACAGTGAACAAGATGGTCACCTGACCCAATTTCAGATGCATGGCAATTGATTCATGACAGCTGCAGAATCCCTGGATCATGTGATCATCTTTTGTGAGCTTCTGACAAGCAAAATCAATGGGGAAGCCAGATTCATTTCACAACAGTGTTACTAACTTAACAATTACAGTGATTCAGTTAACAAATGTGGCAAGAAAACTTGTAATATGGGGCAGAACACAGTAAGTCTCTCACTTAGCAACAGAAATTTTGGGCTCAATTGCAGTCATTATGTGAGGACTACCTGGATTTCTTTTGGCAGTTCTACCACACTTCTTTTATTGATATGGTTTCTGCCCTGTATGGATCCTCTTGTGGGAATTAAGACTACTGCTATAAGTAAAGGTCTTTCCACACTCCATTCATTTATAAGGTGTTTCTCTTTTGTGATTCCTTTTATGGGTTTTAAAAGAATAATGGTAACAGAAGGTCTTTCCACACTCCATGCATTGATACGGTTTCTCTCCTGTGTGGATCCTCTTGTGGGTATTAAGATTACCACTCTTCCTAAAACCCTTTCCACACTCCATGCAATGATATGGCTTCTCTCCTGTATGGATCAAATTGTGGGATTTCAGACTACTGCTACAAGTAAAGGTTTTTCCACACTCCATGCATTTATAAGGTCTTTCTCCTGTGTGGATCCTTACATGTCTTCTAAGAGAGTGATTATAAGAGAAGGTCTCATCACACTCCCTGCATTGATATAGTTTCTCTCCTGTGTGGATCCGCTTGTGAGTATTAAGATAAGTGTTACGAGTAAATGTCTTTCCACACTCCATGCATTGATATGGCTTCTCTCCTGTGTGGATCCGCTTGTGGGTATTAAGATGAGTGCTACAAGTAAATGCCTTTCCGCACTCCATGCATTGATATGGCCTCTCTCCTGTGTGGATCCGCTTGTGGGTATTAAGATGAGTGCTACAAGTAAAGGTCTTTTCACATTCCATGCATTTATAAGGTCGTTTTCCTGTGTGGATCCTTTGATGTCTTATAAGATAGTGATTATAAGAGAAGGTCTTTCCACACTCCATGCAGGTAAACCGTTTCTCTTCTGAATGTGTCTTTTTATGAGAAATGAGATTATTGGATTTATTGAACCTCTTTCCACACTCCATGAATTTATATGGTACTTCCTCCTTATCGATAACTGTATGGTTAAGAAGCCAGCTGACCCGAGGAAGACTTTTTTTAATTCCACTTTGTGATTGATTTGTTTCATCCCTTTTTGGTTGCATCTGATCTACAAATTTCCTTTTCCACCCTTTCAAATGGATCGCTTGGCTTTCCTCCTTGCAATTCTTATTCTCTTGCCCATTAAAGCCTTGAAAAAGAAAAATGAAAACTGTGACAAGAATAAGGGAACAATCAAAATTTTTCTTCTGAAATTTAGCCAAATCAGTCATCACTGTTTTGTTGACAAACACGAAGAGTCCAAACTAAGATTATAGCAAAGTCCCATTTCCAAGTGTATCCTTAATGATCCTCATATAATAGGATTGGACCACAATTGTGATCTAATCTTTGACCTGGAACAATTCTTTGGTGCCACAAACTCCCGAAGTGCATTGTACACTCTATCATGCTGGGCCAGCAACATACCCAGCACCTCCCAACTTCAATAAAACTCTCATCTCCACTTGTCTGCAAAACAGAATCTTTGAAAGTCAAAGGGAATTTCTGGATGGCAATAGCTCGCCACCCTCAACTTAGGCGGATGCCAAATTTGGCATATAAGTGGGCATATCTCTAAGAAGGAAACTCTTAGAGATCAACTGGTCCGTTATAGCAGCTCAGGGCCATCAGGAACCCAGTGACCAGGTTCAGGAGGGAATACCGAATCCTGATAGCCAGAACCTGGCTCAAGAGAGACCACAACATCCCTGCATGGAGACTGTCCCTCCGAGTCTTCCTAATGTTTTCTATGAAACGAGTATTGTGTATTTTATGTGCAGAAAGCATTTTTTTTAAAAAAAATCTTTATGTAAAAAGCCAGGCTATGCAGTTTTCCAATTTCCAGTTCACCTGTGGTCAATTCAATTGATTGGACCTGGAAAGACACACAGCTCTCCATAAATGGCCTCACAGCTAAGAATGCATATGGTAGCAGACCAAAAGCCATGAGGTCAAAGCAACTGCCTGCAGAGCTCAGAGATAGGATTATTGCAAAGAAACAGATCTAGGGAAGGCTACCATAAAATTTTTGCTGCACTGAAAGGTTCTTAAGAGCAAAATGGACTCCATAATTCTCAAATGGAAGATGTTTGGCACAATCAGGACTCTTCCAAGAGCTGGTTGCCCACTCAAACTGAGCAATTAGGATAGAAGGGCCTCAGTAAGAGAGGTGACCAAGAAATCGATTGAGCTCCAGACAGCAGAAGTAGCCTGCAGTGCTGCATTCTAACCATTGCGCCACCACGGTTCATGAAAGTCCTAGTGGCCCAGCCTGAGTTGAACCTTATTTAACATCTCTGGAGGGACCTGAAAATGGCTGTCCACCAACAATTGCCATGCAATCTGACTTAGCCTGAGCGGATTTGCTAGCAAGAATGTCAGAAAATCCCCCAATCCAGGTGTGCAAAGCTTGTAGTGTCATACCCAAAAAGACATGATTCTACATGCTTGCCAACGGTGCTTCAACAAACTATTGAGTGAAAAGATCTGAATACTTATGCCAATGTGATATTTCAGTTTTTTTCTTTTTACTAAATTTATAGACATTTCTAAAATTTTGTTTTCACTTTATCATTATCGGATACTGAGTGTAGATAAATGAGAAAAAAGTGAATTTCAACAACTGTAGAATCAGGCTGCACCATAGCAAAACTCTACAAAGTGAAGAGGTTATGAATGCTTTCTGAACGCACTGTAAATGAATGATTTTTTTTCCAGAAGTAACATTCAAGCCCTTTCTCCATGTTCCTGAGCACAGACAGTGGTTCTTACCCAGAGAAAGGAGATTCCTGGAATTCTCCAGCATGACTTCTCTGTAGAGCTCTTTTTGGTCAGCATCCAGTTGAGACCACTCTTCTTCCGAGAAATACATGGCCACTTCCTCAAAAGAAACAACATCCTGGATAAGGAAACAAGTTTCCTTATTAACAGATAATCCGAAGAAAAATGGGATAATTTTCTTCCACCAATTCTAGGACAAAGATCACGTGAACAAAATGGGCATCGTCTGCAGAATTCAGAATGAGATCTCACCGCTTTTGGCTGATGGCATAACTAAATCATGTTTGATGAAGCTGGAAGTGTTTGGAATGCCTTACAGTTTAACCAACTAAAATATTCTTGCTCAATTGGTAGTTGGGTTTTAAATCCACTACTTATTAATGACTCCG